GATTTAAAGGAAACTAGTTTATCATACTTGACGATTAATATAGGTATTTTGTTTATAAAATACATATATTAAATTCTGTAGAAATAATAGTTATTCTATAGCTACATGATTCAAAGGAAGTGAGTGTATTTTATAATGATACAAAAAACGAAATTTATTCAGATCAATGATTCCATATAAAAATTATTCAACTAACAAGTACTGAAGTTTTTAAAGTTTCGTACGTCCTCTATGCAATTCTAACTAAAGGTTTATTAAATCGTGTCGACTGTGATTTTTGCCGTGTATAATTAGTGGGGCCTTATCGGAAGGGTCGACAGAGAGTTCGTTGAACCCGTAGGGATCCCGAGAGTCGCGACTGCGTGTGTTTCGGTGTCGGACGACCGGCGGGGGCGAGGGCTCGGGCGCTGCACCGGCCCGGTCGTTGACTCCCCCCCGTTGCAACCGTGTGAAATATACATTGATTTTGTTACACACCCGCTATATAGACGAATCATTGATTGTAACACTACATGTATACACATTACATGGAGTGTATGTCGCTAACGAGCTTCGATTCATTTAGAGAATTTCTATTTTGAGTCGCAGTATTATTAGACGCAGTACGCGGCGACATGGTAGCTACACGGCCAGCGATATAACGGTTAAAGGAATGAAAATAAACCAATGTATACACGAAGAACAGTTATAGAGTGCTGCTGTTCGAATATTAACCAGGAAACACGTCCATTAGCTTGGTGGTACGGTTGTGATGTCGATGAGTAAAAATGGAAACGCATTTGTTTCTGCTCCGTTAAATATAAAATGTTGGATATATTGTTGTATTTGTACTTGGAGTCGTAATATACTAATTTCTATAGGAATTTCGATTCAGGCAAATGAATTCTGTTACGGGGTGACCATTTATATAGGTCCGAGCCCCCGAGGTGAACGAGATCGCACGTGTCTGTGGGCTGAACACTGAACAGTCAGGTTGTCGACCGTCGGCCTTGGGGTGCAGCCCCTCGCTTTGTTCATAACACGATTATATTGTATCCGATATATAAAGATACTCTGTATACTGAAACTACGTTATACTCATGAAGTATTACAGTTGAATCTACCGCTCTCAGATACATATGATAAAAGAAGAATTGAGAGTCCTATTTCATCGTTTTATTCGATCATATGATTCCTTATTGTAAGTATCTCTAACATCTGGTGTTATTGTTTATAAAATTGTATGAGACCAGGTTTATGTTCATTGTTACCGTCTACCTGTGATCGTCCCAAAAAACATACGCCTCGTCTCAGGATTCACTACCTGCAGTTGCACCGTGCGTTTATTATCAAAGCATGTTTTTCCACCTTTAGAATTGTTACTATTCTTTGACGATTTATTTCGAGATAATAATAATGCCATTTATAATTTTGTTTACTTTAAACGTTGCTCTCTTTTCCACCGGGTTCTTAAAAAACATTACCAATGTGTTCCGTACACTATAGTTTTATTCATACGAAATAACTAGGAATAAATTTTCGCAAAATTTTCTTTCATTCGCTGACAGAAATAAAAGAAGAATCAAATTCTCATATACATTTATAGCTCTGCCAATATATTAACAAAATGTAAGCAGCTAAAAAAACAATATTCATTAATCATTTTCATTACCATGTTTACTGCACGGAAAGAATATTCGGAACTATTAACAGTAAAAAAACAGTACAGTAATATTGTTATAGATAAGAAACAAAGATAAATAGAGATTTCGAGGAACTTTTCGTCGCTGATATATAAGTTTAGCAATAAAATGTAACGAAGATAGTGAAAAACAAAAAAAACTGTTATCCTAATAAGTTCCATGTATTTTATTTTTGTCAACCATATAATTATTATCATTAAATCTTTTTTACTCATTATCCCCGATGGCCGTACATCACCCACCGACCTTATATAACGTAAGGTCGACCTTCGTGTAAATAATCTGGTCCTTTGTCCTTGTCTGGCTTTACTGTGTGCCGTGTAGTTTGTATTCAACTAGCACACTACACCTCTAATATAACTTCTGTGCATTGTGTGAATATTATAAAGAAATTGCGCATTTTCATGCCAGCATGTGAGAATGTGACGAATATTGTTTTACAGTACAACGGATGTACTTACGTCATGAACTTCACAAACAGTACAATTTCAAATTTATATATCTTTATTACATACTAGTTTTTGCCCGCGACTTCGTCCGCGTTAATTTCATTATTAATAATATATGTATAGCTGACCGGGCGAACTCTATTCCCTCCTAGAGGCCATAAATAATAAGGTTTTTCCTGTTTCAATCGAACAGAATGATTGACATATTAGTTAGTTGTCAAATCTAATGTCAAAGAAAACATTTGTATGGGAAATAGAAAAGGGCTGTTTTTAGGGTTTTCCCGGAAATGAATCAATTTTTCTCACCTTTTATACCTTCCCTGAACCTCCACGAACATTTCAAGACTAAGATAACATAAATCCGTTCAGCTGTTCTCGAGTTTTAGCGAGACTAAGGAACAGCAATCCATTTTTATATATATAGAAGATTCTAATATTTGGTATAAATTTGTGTGTATAAAACCGTTCCCTCTATATGTTTTTATAAAGAAACTGTTATTCATATTATTTATGAATAGTGTAAGCCTATAGCAAACCCGAAAAACTGGTTGACATGAAACGGTGTAGTTGATATAATCTAAATACATATATATCATATAAAAAACAGTAAATACATATATAAGTTATTATTCACGTAACATATATATATATATATATATATATATTTCATAGTTTCAGACATTACTATTAACTTTAGCTTATTTAGAATCGTGAATAAGTATCAGTACTAAACGATCCTATGTTTACCATGAGTGCGATCCTCACACTACATACGAACTGTTTCGCGTTTCTCACTCAATAATTCAATACTCAAATTCTCAATAATTTAAATTTTGATTTACTACAATTATTATATTTTGCATGATGTGATAGCCTATAATTAAAATGACATTTAAGTTATTATTAATAGTTTGATAATGTAATGAATGTAATAATGTTTTCTTTTGTTGGTTATCCAAATAAAAAAAGAAAAAAATAAATAACCTACGTTAATAGTAAGTGTTAAATGATAAACCGAAAACCGTGGTAAGCATACCACTGATGGGTTTATCGGTCGGTAACCAGATCCATCTATATCTGGTCCATGTCATTAACACCTTATATAAGATACTTAATACTCGACACTTTAAAATCAATTAACCATCTTATCTATATTCATGTGTAATTTATATGTAAAACTATAATTTGGAACACCATCCGCCATTTTGATTTTCAAAGTAATCTACTGTGACAGTTGTCAATGACACGAAAAATATTTGACTAAAATTTACGAGTATATTTTTATCGTAAATTTAGGTATTATTAAAAGTCATCGAAACAAAGCAGTGCTTACGTTGTCGTTGCAAACTCATACTAAATGATATAGAAATAAGAATCTGGTAATTATAAAATAGTCCAAAAAACGATAAACTTTTTAACGATTTTAAGGCTAAATATACATTTCTCTCACGACGCCCTTTTAAACAAAAAGTACACGTTAAAACCGTCTGTAAAACATTCGAGATTAAATTTATATGTGTACAAGATTCCTTATAAAAATAATATATAGTTCTAAAATATTATTAAACAATACGTCTAATGCATTTTCACCTACGCAACGGACACGTGCATACAAGGTTTTTTTTTATAAAGATTTCGGTTATGAGGTCAAGCCATCAGGCCGCTCACAGCCAATATTTGTTTATATTAATGGACGCACTCGTTAAAGAATAAACATGTTAGACCTTACGATTATATTAAAATAATTAATTACGATAATTACTCATTGCATTAAATTAATTGTCACTTCCGTTACGTATGAATTTAAAATCACTTAATGTTGTTATAACAAAAAAATATTTATATTAATATATAATATAGGCAAACATATATACTTATGAAATATGATTGTCCAAACAAAAATATTTTCTATTGATCTTCGTCACAAAGGGACTTTGAAGACAAGGTATTGTTGATTATATAACACGGGTTGAGATGGCGAAGGTTCCTTTAAAAATTTAAAACAATGGCTGTAGCTTGAAATAACAATTGACCGTTCAGGTTATACGATCGATTGACCACTCGAATCCCGTTAGTTTTTTACCGTCATTTCTATTATCGATAGTTTTTCAAATCTATATTTGACATAACCAATGATTTAAGATATGTATAATATGATTAGATAAATAAATAGTGTTGATGTATTTGCCTTGTACGAAATGTGGGTCAGTTAAAAAAAAGAATAAACAGCAAACTATATAGTTTTTGTTTATGAATACTGTTTTGCTATAAACTACTTATAATATGAATATTTAAATGTAAACATAATATATACGGTGTTGCCAATCACAATTTTACAGAATATAATAATTGATTTTCACATCCGCTGACACTTGTTGTACCATTTTTTATAAGTAGGTGTTTTTCATTAATAAATTATATTTTTCACAGGTAACAAACAAGAATTTTACCATACTAAAATATTTTTATATAGTAAGGTAAAATAACTTTGTTGCTCACGTTTTTCCTGTTAAATATTTATTGTATGTATTAATTCACTCTACTGTAATTTATTTTATTTTTATTACTTTCGTTATAATTATTAAACGTATGTCTTATAATAATAAGTTAAAAAAAAATCAATAAGCACAGTAGCGGTAATATTTGTGCGCTGGCAACACTCATTCGTTTGACAGTTCCCCAGCTGTAGCCTGTATCTGTATTGTGAATTGAAAAATAAGTCGAAAAGTGTAGCTGTCCTTGATGTGTCATCCATCTCGATAATTTCTGCGAAACGTGGTTTTATAATCTCTAAAATAATCGCTAGAAGTCAAAATTTCATTAAAACGAAAAAGATATTTTGATTTAGAAAATATAATCAATTGTGTGTATGAATAGTGGTTTGTTCACGGTGGTCGGTAGTAGTACTAATTAATTGTTGAAATGTTTATGTAACGTAGCATAATTCAGGTCGCTGAGTGGGCATATTATCTTTGTTTCAGTTGGTGGAAGTGTGTCAGCAGCTGTGGTGGTGCGTCACTTCGAAGTTGAGTGAGTGAGACGTTCGGTGGAAGTAGTTGGTGATGTGCTTGTGATAAACTGACAGTGGTGGATGCTGAGAGGCCGGTGTAGCGCTCGCCCTGGCATGGTGCCGGGCAGGTAGCGGGCGCGGGCGGGCGCAGGCCCCACACAAGCAGCCGCGTGTGTTCCCCAGCGTCGTCTATGGCCGAGCAACACATCACACCGTCGTCGCACTCTGCACTTACGAGAGAGTCCACCAGGTATATACAATACTGACTAAGTAACACTTAATTAACTAACTCAGTTTAGTCGACAATGTGACTTTTAAATTTATATTGACTTTTTATATATCTGGTGATTACAGCGAAAATATTTAACTTAAACATCTTCTACAGGATGTACTGTGATAAAAAATTACAGATTAACATACAAGTTATGGGCCTTTGTTACTATATTTAGATAGAAAAAAATGTAACAAAGACAAAGGTAGTTGTGATGTTTTAACATTGCACAATAAAATTAATGATTTGTGGAATGATTTGTGTTGTTATGAACATGCTAGAATTTTAAAAGATTAAACTTTTTGCAGTAATATTGGGTCCAAGATCAGTTAAAGAGTTTTGGTACATGAGGGTAGAACAAAATTGATTTTTCACTTTTGTAGATTTGCATTCCAATTCTTTATAATTAATAAAGAAAATAAAATAGGTAAATAATCTTAACTCTTATGTAGTTATAACCAGATTGCACAAAATGTCAACAAAAACTAATAATGAGAGAACAGAAAAATGTGCTTTATATAAACGGGAAAATGAAAATATATTTGCTCATACAATGTAAAGGATTGTTCAGTTTTTGGTAAGAAGTATTTAATGAAATTAAGCTTTTCGGATTGTAGGCCTTTTTAAATTTTATTTCTAAATGATCCTGAATATATTAGCAATTGTCATCACAGGCAGACAAGATGAACAGGCATTGTATGCACAAGAGCTTTACATTGATTTGTATGATTCTGAGGATCTTTAAAATATTTAACATATGACTCAAATACTTAGCAATATTTGTTTTGAGATTATAAAATAAAATTTTTTACATTTCTTAGATCAATAATATTTGTTCTCCCTCTTTTCGGATTGAACATATCAAAATGTAATTATTTTGAATATGGTGTGATAACAAAATAGATATTTATTTCATATTCTTGCTGATATCAATTTTTGTTTTTTACAATTTAAAGCCATTTTTTTTTACATATCACAGAAATTGTACCTTAATGAAGTGATTCTCATATAATAATAAGATATCCTTTTGATCAATATTTACTTTTTAAAACACAAATACTTATAGATAATAATATCTTATTACATTGGTACATTATTATGTGCCAGTATAAAAGAATTTTATGGAAAAATAAAATTATCTGTCCATCACAGAATTGTTCTAAATATCCTACAAGTTTGTTGCATTTAAATGTATACACTTTGATTAGTTAATGTATTCTTAAGATATGAGCTTTGATAATAAAACAATTAACATATAAACTTGCTTATTAATGATGGTTGTCATTTTGACAAACATTAAATCAAAATTATTGAAGTAATATTTATAAATAAATTGAATATTCTTATATTAAATAAAAAAGAAGTTAACCAGTACAAACAAATTCTTAAAAAATATATGGATATAGTTTTCATGCTCTATACATTGCTGGATAATGCTATATATTAATTAACTATGTATATAAAATAATGAAAAAATCAAAAGATATTTAAAGAAACTGCAAACATATAAAAGGGTTTGACATTCGAGACACCTAAGTTTTAAATATTCATTCTTGAAATATTCTTTGTAACAAAAAATTACTTCCACATTAAATAACCTTCAGTTTAACATTGTTTACCTTTATTATATTTAGACACAAGTTTCCATTCTTTCTGAGTGCACAAATTACACATTGTAAATTATGCCAGCAGTGTCATATTATAATATCTAGTATGTTATAGTTTGGAATGCACATTCTATTTAGTTTATCTCTATTAACTTTCTAAAATTTTTTATTAATAAAAGCATTTGTCATTCGCCAGGTCTTCTCCAAGCAGGGTGGTGGGCGGCCGGTGGTTGCGTCAAGTTCGTAAAGTGAACCGTAGTCGTCGCAGCAGACGCAACGTGATCTCGCCATTGCCGCGCACCAGTCGACATTCATCAACCCGCACAGACAGCGCTGAACCTCGCGCTCAGGTCGAGCTACGGAGGAGCTCCAGGCTCGTCAGTACTTTACCACGTTCTGATTACTCCATCTTCGAGCGTTGGTCCTACGGCACAGACGTATACGAAACCCGTTACGACACACCTCATTACAAGCACGGAGATTCGTCCAAATCGTCAGCTAACACCAAGCGTGGCCGTACGTCTTCGCATGACAGGAAGAAACATAAAAGCCACAATACATCGAATAGCAATACAGACGATTGTGTAGCATATTGTACACGCTCACGGACTGCTCTTAAATCTAGTGAGAGTGTTTGTGAGCAGGCTCCGAATAATATAAAGGCGAACACATCATCGCGTCAGTCTACGAGCGCTAACGCAACAGAAACATCATCAGAACAGCAGACGAACCAATCGGAAGGTGGTCTCTTGCCGCTCGACGAGAGAGACTTCGCTTACTCCCCGTTCAGTTCGTCTACTATAACAGAGTTACTGGACTCTGATTATTCAGTGTACAGTCCCACTGCCAGCCGCAGGAAGGGTAAGAAGAGGAAACGTTCGACACATCGCTCCCTGCCATACAGGAAGAGCAACTGTCTGCTTGACATAGAGGAGTGCAGGAAGAAATTTAAAATAGACCCACACAAGGAAGCGGCCGAGACTAGCACCAACGACATAGCTGAAACTAGCCCAGAATACGAACCTGAATCTAGGGAGACACCCTCCAACCAGGCTTGCTCGTATCGACTGCGCAATAGACAGAACCGTGATCTTGGGAGCTCCAACTCATCTGTGCTGATCTCAGTTGTCAATTCAGGTAGTTTGCTCATAGTAACTTTGTCATACATAGAATATTTGATGTATAACGTTCTGTAGCTATTGAGTCGTTTAGTAAAGTTCAGTATAAAATGAGACACGATACATGCGGCTTATCAGATACTCTTATCATATATCAAGTGTAGCTATTCATTGTAGATAATATTGTAAATAATTGTGTTGTTCCAGCGAGTCCGTCAACAAGCGACGTGGTACAGCCGCAGGCGGCGACAGAACGGAAAAGCACCTCCGACACACGGAAGACAAGTACACCACCGCCGTACAAGGACCTGCAAGGTGAGTCATCACTGAACGTTATAATATGACATTGAAAAAGCATATTATTATATAATATAATACTGTCATTGTCTTTACAGAAGCGAGCTCCTCGAAGGGCAGTGGTAGCAAACTACTCATTGTCCCACGAGATCTACCATACTTACGTCAAACTAACGCGAGAAGGGTACGCCGATTGATTATTTTTAATGCTCTCATTTATATATTACTGTTATTAATTATGTTATGTTATATCAGAGTATCGCTGCTGCAACGGGTGCGACCCTGGGTGCTTGCTGGACGAGGGGTGCCAGTACTTCTCAACGGCAAAGACAGGATACTGCCACTAAGAGACAGGTATGGTGCAAAGAGTTTTACATAATTCTACAAATATTATTCACAAACAACCCTTCAATAACAAATGTTATTTGCAAAAATAAAATCTTGATCTACCATTATTATTTTTTGTTTTGTTCCATATTATAAATTTTGTTGAGATTGAATGAATGAACCAAAATTCGGGGATAGTAAATATTTCTCTTGGGCCCCCACCTACTTTACAGGAATCTACCCCACATATATTTTTTTCTTTTTCTATTCAATACTTTTGAATAATTCTCTCAATAGAATTATGAGTGCCTATAATTCAATGAGCGGCGACAAAAATTTAGATATTTTCGATAATATAAAAAAATTAAAAATAAAATATTATTTATATATACTCAAAATTATTTAGTTTAGATACCTAGATATAGTTTACTTATGTTATTATTTTTATTTTAAATTGTTTTTTGTTATTTAATTAGCTTTTTATTTTCTGCTTGTTGTTGCTTAACTTTTATTTTGTGCATGCTGTTATCACCTTTAATTAAGATACCACTCGTTTTATTTTTTTCTATCTATTTATGTGATCTAATAAAAAAAAAATACTGTTGCAGTTGATTGAAGTTATATTTGTTTTATTTCTGATATTAGCTGATATATAAAAACTTTTTCATGTTCGTGTCTCATGTTTTTTTTATTATTGTCTAGTCGGCCGGTGAGGAGGCAGGCAGCAGCGCGGGCGGGGGGCGGCGGACGCGGGCGCGCGACATGCCGCAGCCGCACACGCCCTCCACCAGACGCGACAAGCGAGGTATACACCAACATAAATAACTAGCTGCGCCCCGCGGTGTTACCCGCGGATTTCCGGGATGTAAAGTAGCCTATATGTTATTCCTGGATGTCAGTTTCCTGTATACAAAATTTTATCTAAATCGGTTCAGCCGTTTGAGCGTGAAGAAGTAACAAACATACACGCACACTCACAAACTTTCACGTTTATAATATTAGTAGGATAAGATACATATAATTGTAATATTGTATAGAAGACTGTTGTAATACAAGAGTTGACGATCAACTGTTGCAACTATATGGTAATTTACATTATATAATATTAAAACGTGTAATTTTTCTTACTTTTTAACTAATCAACTGTTTGATCTGAATTTTTCAAAACAATCACGACAAAACAAAATCACGACGAAACAATCAACGAATGTCTAAACAAAAGAACAAAGAATTTATATGTGAATGTAATTAAGCTTTTATTTTATTGTATTAGGAAAAAGCAGCCTGGGTTCGTGTGCCAGTACCGGTGGCGCTTCCAGCCGTTCGCATCCGCAGCCTCTAAACACGGTATATTATTTAAACATACACAAGCTTCTAAGTACTTATTAGTAATTGTGAAAAAATTACCTTAAAAGTCGTTACTTTAGAAAATATTTCAACTTAAAGTTTCTTCGGATAATCTGCTTCCAATGTGGATACGCGAAATTATCCAATGGTAGAAATCTCAGTTGTCAATCGAAATTATCCCCGACAATATATAGAACACTGTAACAAAAAAAAGGATTAGTTATTTATGGTATTGGAATGTGTTTTTATTTTCTTCTTGATCCAAGACCGTTTACGATAATTTGAAAGATGCTAGTCATTATACTATAATTAAATATTAATTATAATCAAAGTAATGATGCTCATAATAATTATTTTGATTGAAGCTGAACAGAGTTTTCATGTGATTGCCACATAGAACCAGACTAATTTATTTATTTAGTATGTACATACTTTTTTTACTAACTCTTATTTTGACTATATAGGATAAATAAACTTGTTTTTACTATTAAAAAAAAAGTCATCGCACCTAAACTCCTTGGTTTTACTCATCTGAGTAATAATTAATTACATATTTTATGCTGCCAATTAGGTAAATGTTTTCTTAACTGTCCATACAATAATAGTCACACAAAAATCAATCAACAAATCACCTTTAATTATGATGAATTGGAAAAAATATTTTGTAAATACATAATTAATTGATAGGGTAATAATGAGCTATATTAATTACTGTATTGTATCTTCATACGCATTGGTAAAATATAATCATTATATATTCCAGGGTGCCATAGCCTCTACGTCGTCTACACCGCCAGTGTCAGCTGCAGCCGCATCAATGCCGGACAACGCATCCAACGAAGCCAAGCCCAAGGGCAAAGGTGAACTTTATAACATTAACATATCTTTATATGTATATATAATTCTTCCGTGAGTGTGTATGTCACTGAACTTCTCTCAAACAACTGGACCGATTTTTATGAAATTTTTTGTGTGTGTTCAAGGGGTTCTGGGAATGATTTAGATTCACAATTTTGTTCGCTGGACAATGTTTTTTTAATTAATTTTTAACTTATTTGTAGTCGTTGATACAAACGTTTTATTTTTGACATTAGATTTGACATCTAACTAAAATGTCAACCATTCTGTCGCACTTCAAAACACGGAGATTATGACTTTAATAGGTAAACTCCAAAAATATAAATAAAAAAACGTAACAGATATTTCTTGATTATAGGGCGATACGAAGTTCGCCGGGTCTTCTAGTTTCTTTATATAAATCTTTTTCGATGTATCAGTGTCGTTTTTGCAAAGTCATTAATGAGTGAGATTATAGTCAAGTCATTGTGGTGTAATGACTAACAAGTACCAATAATGTTTGTAGCTTCGTCGTCAGAGGAGTGTTCGGGTATGGCGGGCGCAGCGGGGGTGGCGGGTACAGCGGGGGGCAGCGGCGCGGGGGCCAGCGCTGTGGCTGAGGAGTCCTCCTCGGAGGAGGGCGAAGTTGGCCGCCTCCAGGCCCTGCTAGAGGCTAGGGGCCTGCCACCACATCTACTGGGCGCTCTTGGACCGCGTATGCAGCACCTACTTCATAGAACAGTCACTGCTAACTCAGGTACAGATTAATAAATTATATTATGGTTAAATGTATCGTTTAACATAACTTAATAGATATAATTATCTTTATGCAAAGACGGAGAATAATATTAACTTAAAGTATATCTTCACTCTACTGTAATATGGTATGGAATATTTTTTAAATACTAGTTCTATTCCATCTGTTTTTTTATTTTGATGAGTTTATATCATGAGCTGATGTAAATTTTACTCTGGTGTCTTCGATCTATAATTTAAATTGAATGGAGGTTATATTTACTATTATGTACGGTTTTGATTTTTTGCATTATTCAATAATACTAACAGAGGGGAAGAATATAATAACGCCGACTGATGTTGTATAATAAGATGACAAAGTAACCATTTACTTGTCTGTTGTACAATGCAGTATGTTTGATGTCTTTTGTAGGTATTATTTTGACGGTTGTTGCAAAGTAACCAAAACTTCAGGATTATATATCGTCTTTGAAGTACCAATACCTCCTAACTGACAATTTCGTCCTAAGTAACTAAATTTGTCTCCTAAGTAACTAAATGCCTATAAAATGTTAACATGAACATATCCATTCGTAACTTATAAAAAGGTGATGTGTTAGAAACTATTTTACTATCAATAGTTGATCAAAATAAATAAAACCTTATTTTAAAACAGTTTTTTCTTCTAGGGTAAAATTAGATTCTCAACACTTAGGAGGTATTTATATGTAGTTTACCGATACTAATCTGAAACTATTTCCAGCTGCTTCCAAGGCCGCCCAGCTGTTGTCGGGCTTGCAGGCGACGGGTGATGAAGGCCAGCAGTTGCAGGCGGTCATCGAGATGTGCCAGCTGTTGGTGATGGGCAACGAAGACACCCTCGCCGGCTTCCCCGTGAGGCAGGTCGTGCCCGCGCTGGTCAACTTGCTCGCTGCTGAACATAACTTCGATATGGTCGGTAGTTTGTTACTCAAATGTACTCTTATCACTGTATATATTAAATATTATATTATATATATTCCATTGAAAGATGTTTGCAAATCTTTTAGATCTTTGTTTCACTTTTAACGGTTCTATATGGAATAGTTATGTAGCCTACATATGAACATGTTTACTGTTTTGTATATTTCATATATTAATTAATAAATAAATAAAAATATAATCAAACTCAATTCATTTTATAGATGAACCACGCGTGTCGTGCGTTAACATATATGCTGGAGGCGTTACCCCGCAGTAGTGGGGCAGTATCACTTGCTGTGCCGGCATTCGTGGACAAGTTACAAGCTATAACATGTATGGATGTGGCTGAACAGAGTCTCACGGCCCTGGACATGCTGTCAAGGAGACACTATAAGGATATATTGAAAACGGTATGGTATATAGAAGGGGGAATTATGTATATACATATAGATAGAACCTTATTATAGTCCGTTAAACTTAAGCTGAGCTTTGCATTTGTGTGAGTGTAAGTAAAAGTTAGACAAAAAAACTTTTAGAAATCAATTTTATTATATTTTAAATAGAATCATAACATAAGTGCTATAAAATAAGAAAAACTTCTAAAAGTCCAGATGGAAATATTATGAATATTATGGAAAAAAAATTATTGATTAATAAGAATTTTGAAAAACTTAAGAAATTCTTATTCACTTGACATTGCGTTTTCAACATTTGATATTGCTACCAGTACAAAAGGTGAAGTGAGGAAGGTGCGGGGAGGAGTAAAAGCAGAATAAACAAGTTCAAAACTAGAAAAGAAAGCATTCAAAAATTTGACATCACACCTACACAATACATATACACTCACACAAATGTAAAGCTCAGCTTAAATCAAACGCACTATACTTTCACGTATATGTCTTTCTTATATAATATAATGTCGGATGTGTTATTTATATAGTTGGTTTCTAATGTTAATGTTTGTCATCTGCAGCGTGGTGTGTCCGCTTGTCTCACGTACCTGGATTTCTTCTCTATAAACGCCCAACGAGCCGCACTCTCGATCACGGCTAACTGCTGTCAGAATCTCACCTCGGATGAATTCCACCTCGTTAGGGATTCCCTGCAATTACTTGCTAATAGGTAAAAAAAGAATTACATACTAATATATACGTACATATTTTAATCATATATCCTGTATCTATGAAAAAATATTAATTCATATATATTTGTAGATTAACCATACAAGACAAGAAGTCCGTTGAGTGCGTGTGTCTAGCATTTTCACGTCTCGTGGACAGTTTCCAACACGACCCCGCCAGGCTGCAAGAGATTGCAACGCCGGAATTACTCACTAATTTACAACAGCTTGTGAGTGTTTATAACTTGTATGATGTATAATAAATGTAAGATTTAAATTCGACACTAATATATATTTTTGTATTGTTTTGTACTTATAATGTAGTTAGCTTGAAGGCGTCATAAATGAGCTAATTAGAGAAGTTAATAATGTTTTTTTTTGTGAATTTTAGCTGTTTATGAGCTATAGGTCATGTTCCACGATAATAAAAATATGTTAATGAGAATATGAATTTATATATCTTGTGTGAAACTATATTGATTGTATATTCGTGTATCAGTTGGTCGTTCAGCCGCCCCTGATCTCAGGCAGCACGTTCATAACGGTGCTGCGTCTGTTGTGGGTGATGTGTGCAGCGTGTCCTCAGCTCGCGTTAGCTCTACACCAGCGCTCCATCGCGGATACGCTGCTCTGTCTGCTCACAGGATCTACGCTGCACCAGGAGGTAGCACTTAGATATTTGTTTCTTAGTTGGACCATTGAATAGTTGTCATTTTCTCTGAATGGTAATAATATAAAAATAATTAAATAGCAGTCTTCGGCTCAAATAATTCAAAAATCTGTTTTTATAATCCAACGGCTATTTTATCATGAAAATTCTACGTAAGCGTATTTTTTTTGACAAATAATGTACAAAATTCAGTAAAGTATGTCAAGAAAAAAATATCTTTTTCATATTACTAATAGTTATCGTTTTAATATACCAGCAAGTGGAATTGATACCTCGTCTGCCGCAAGAGTTGTATGAGATCACTTGTCTGATCGGCGAGCTGATGCCTCGCCTGCCGACTGACGGGATCTTCGCAGTAGACGCTCACCTCGACCGACCGTGGTCCGCGCCCGCCGAGCGAGCAGCGTTGTGGCAGTGGAGAGACGATAGAGGTTACACATACACACATTACAATGTTAAACATAACATTAACTCGGGAAAATAAGAGAATTAATACAGGCAAATTATTAATATACGTAACGTTTTATTAACTCAACATAACATTTATTTTATATAATAATCACGAACACGCAAAGCAAGTAAGTGAGAAAGTTACGGTGGTGCTGTCCACATATATTCTGTCCGAATCAAATACATAACGTATACAGCATACAATTCCGTAGGTGTGTGGCGCTCGTATTCATGGGCCGAATGTCGTGCACTAGAGGCGGGTGCGGCGGCTGGCGAGGAGGAGGTGTGTCTGAGTGCGCTGGGACGCTCTTACACCGTGGACCTGACGGCCATGCAGCAGCTCAACGACCACACGGGCACCGCCAGACCTGTGCAGCGCCTCGCGCCCGGCCCGCACCCTGCAGACCCGGCTACCGGGACGGCAGCTGTGACGGGTATGTTGCTTTGAATGTCTTCTTACTTTGAATACAAAAGTTTTATCTCTTATTCTTCAATAGAATCAATTCTATAAAACGATTAACCTCCTGTTTCAGACCCCCGTATCGCGATGGTTCGCTGCAGCCCGTCCCTGGTGCGTGCTCTGCTGGGTGTGTTGCACGAAGTGTATTGGAGCTCAGCGGGGCCCGCGCTACGTGCTCAGGCGTTAAAGGCGATCCTACGAGCCGTGTACTACGCGGATGCACCGCTACTACGACAAGTCCTTAAGACTCAGGTCAGTATACTCTCATTCTAGTAACACTTCATGAGTAATTTCATATTTGCTTGTATTATTTTTGGCATGCGTCAACTATTTCACACAGTTTTGGCTGAAATGTGTGTACAGGGTGACTGGTGAATTACTATCGATACTTGAGGACGTGATATTTGACGATCATATATGACAAAATAAAAATTAATATAACATAAATATTAATAAACTTCTAAGTAAAGTTAACCAAAAGTTATGTAATTAATTACGTATCCTGTGAACACCCTACAGATTAGGTATACACACACACACATACGCGTGCGGCGGCGTGGTGTTGTATCAGCACGCCGCCGCACGCGTCCACACTTGGAACACTTGTAACGTGTCAACACTTTATTTATTTATACGGAAATTTTGACAAAAATTAAGTGCCTATTTTTTTTACATAATTCGAATGAGAATCATGTACCGAGTATTCTCCTTAAATATTGATAGTAATTCATATATATACATTTATATTTAACTAAAACTTCAACTTCTGTTCTCCGGGTGTCATGTAACTGTAACAAATAATTTCAATGTGTTCCAATTATTGTCAACAGGTGATATCATCCCACATAGCTGGTATGATGGCTTCCAGTGACCTTCGTATCGTCGTGGGGTCGCTCCAGTTGGCGGAAATCTTAATGCAGCGCCTTCCAGAGGAGATGGGAGTGCAGTTCCGTCGTGAGGGAGTGCTGCATCAAGTTGCGCAACTGGCAGAGCGGCCTCCCGGTCACCAGCCGCCCAGGCAGGCTAAGATTAAGGTAAACAAACCAGCAGTAGCGTTAGTAGTAAGCAACATGTTTTATATATTATTATAGGGATTTATAACGAAAGTTTGTTACGTCATTGTGCTAGTATAAGACAAAATTACGACAGGGTAATAGAATTTGCTCACAGAAATGTTGTCACAGCTCTAGGTTTAATTAATTGAAGTGTATAGAGACTTCCATGAATGATATTTAATATTATGTAATATTAAAACGCTCTACAAATACGACCACTAAAACTTCCAATGATTAATATAAAATTGTTAATGATATTATTAATGTTTCAGTCTCCGAGCGCAGCCAACGTTCGTTCAAGCGGAGGGTCGTCTCCCCCCGCCTCCACATCAGCTACCTCCCTCGATCATCACAATTTATCACTCGCCTTCTCAGCATCTGGATCTTTCATTGCGAGCTCACTGTGTAAGTTATTATTATAAAAACCTATTTATAATTGTCATATCGTGGATAACTTGACTTTATTTACGATTGTTGTAATACTTTTTCAGTGGGCGGCAGTGATAGCGGTAGTTCAGAAGCCGGTCCGGCGACATCCGCATCCGCATTACAGACAACAACAACAGTACATAGGTATGACATTACAGTCAATCGATTTGATACCATTAGAAAATAGAAAAACACATTTTTTAAATATAAGCTTATTATTCTTTTCATTGAATTGTGTTTACTTCATTGTACATGTTTTGGATATTCACATATTCTTGTGTCTGTCAGTGACTTTACTCACAGTTATTATCATCTAATCTCCCTGTGATATACAATAATCACATTTTGAATTAAATCTTAAACATGTATTAGTGCAGTCTCAGTATATTGTTTTTATATACATTAATATCGCCAACAGGTCGGGCAGTCCTCTACAGTTAGCGGAGATGTTGAAACGTAAACGTGCTGTGAAGCGGTCCGGGGGCTCCGGGGCGGGGTCCCGTCCGCCGCGGCGCAGAGACGACCACGCGCCCCCCGCCGCCCCGCACACCGCACCACCCACCACCACCGCTGCTACTGCTGTTGCTGCTCATTGTTAGTACATTATGTCTAAAAACAAATACTCGTATTGATTTTCTATACGATAAAAAGGTCACACCTGTAACTATCCTTATATTTAAATAGCATTACCTATTTTTTTATCTCTATTTTATAGAGGCAATGCGACTGTAGCTATAGCTAGTTTTAGATTACGTCCTCTAACGTCTTATCATGAAAATTTTAACGGGTTTTTTGCAATTTCGATATTTACTGTAACACATAAGAAATTAATTTCATACAATCACCCAAATCCTATATTATAGAGATATTAATAGGAAATCAAATTTTTATATTTATAAAATGTAGTTGAAATAAATGTTTAAATCAAAACAGTTCCATGTCTTAGACATAAGCAATAGTTATATTTCCCATATCCCAATGATGTTGTCAAAGTCATTAGGGCTAAAGTCAAATCGGAACTAAAATAAATATATATGTACATATGTCAATATTTTCCTTTATATTTTCCAGCATCAGGTGCGGGTTCAGGCGGTCGTTCAGGTCGTGTGGGCAGTCTGTCCAAGACATCGTCGTTCCTGTCTTCGTTAAACCCGTCCCGCTGGGGTCGCTCGCCACACGCTCATAAAGACTCTGCTCTACTAGCCGCCCCACACTCCTCAACTAATCTCACCGTTCAGAACAAGTATGGAACCATATTGAACTTAATTATAATAAGAAAACAATATATTAGCAGGAAATCTATAGTAAAAATGTATGATAAAAATTAAATTGTCTAGCTAAGTCTGATGTTAATTGTTCATTCTTAAAACATGAGTTGAGTTGATGGATATGAAACACTGTCTTGTTGATTTTTTTTTTGTTGATGGATATGATTTAAGTAATGTTGATTTAAGTTGATGGATATGAAACCGAGTTGATGGATATGAAACACTGTCTTCGTTGCGGCGAACTGATAGCATGTTATTTTAATTTTAGAAATTACAAAATTAAATCTCACTTTCTATATTAAAGACCCTGGCTAAAGCTGGAATAACTGCCAGGAAGAAGAGGATATTATAGCAATCTTAATTATCTATATATAAAGTTGGCCATGAACAATGATACAAAAATATAAAAAATCTGTACGTTCAGAGAGAAAGTCCGCGAATGGATCCAATGGCGTGCGGCTCGTCTTCAACGCGAGTGGGGCGCTCTGGGTGGAGGCGCGGGGGCTCTGGAACAACTGGCTGCTCTCGCCACGGCTCTACCGACACGACCTCCCACACAACAAAGGGCTGCGTTACACCAGCTAAGAGATACTCTGCTCAACAACGATGTCTCGCCGTTCGAAGTACGTTTACATAAAATATATCCCTACTAATATTATAAATGTTGAATATATAAAGTTACTCTGTCTTTCTGTCTGTTACGCTTTGACGCCTAAACCACTGAACTGATTTTAATGAAATTTGGTACAGACATAGAGTTGATCTTGAGAACGAACATAGGATAGTTTTTATCCCAGACTTTTGAAAAGTTCTCTTGGAAACGCGATATAACCGAACTCCACGCGGGCGAAGCTGCGGGCGGAAAGCTAGTTATCACTATAAAATTTAGTTTTGGTATTATTCAAAGTATATTACGCCGTATTAACTTTAATTACACTTTGTTCCAGGTGAATCACTCGGGCGTGTTGGGAGCTCTGTTACAGTTCCTGACCGGTAGTGATCCGGATAATGAACGCGAGGCGGAGGGCGAGGGCAGGGATTCAGCGGAGCAGGTGGCCGCTTGCGAGGAACGACTGCGGCTCTTCCTACATGTGTTCGCTGATATGCCATTAGTACCTGAGTAAGTTATTACATCAAATAAACATTAACACTCCTTCTCTTCCTTGCATCGGCTTCCTCAATGATCAGGATCGTGACCTCACATGAATTTTATGAATTCATGGAGATTTTCTTAGGAGTGTGCTAGTGGTGGGTTCCCACGTACTTGCACTGCTTTTCGAGGGGATTTAGTTCCTTGTTATCGCTGAGGCTTAATAAATAAACAAATCTACTTTTATTTTATATATTGAATGCTTAACATATCGGTGGAAGGAACGACTGTTCTTAATATTCAATATTGTATTTGATATATGTATATATATTTTAACAGTAATAGCTGTAAAGAGTATGGGCTATGTAAATATGTAGCGAATTATGTGACATAGCAAAGGCTGCACTGCAGTAATATTTGTAGGAAATTTAATATTTTCTTATTTCTTCTAAGACACAATATATTGTTATACCTTTTGGAATACTATACGCCGCACTAACACTCAATCGCACTTACACTAATTCGCTTCAAACAATAATTGCTTTGGTCAATACAGAGTTATCCTTTGAACATCATTTAGTTAATTTAATAATAAAAAAATTAAGTATATGTATATTATAATATATTATATATAACGTGTTATCTTGCTTTCCAGCGACAGCGAGTGGTCTAGTCGTGCGAGTGGCGCCGGGGCGTGGAGCGTGTGTTCGGGCGCGGCTCCTCTAGCGGCGCTTGTGGCCAAAGTGAACGCGTGCGTGTCTCACTTGGAACAGTTTCCGGTCAGAGTGCACGACTTACCGGCCAGACCAGCCACCTCCGCGCTCAAGTTCTTCAATACGCATCAGCTCATGGTATGACATTTTATAAACACCACAGAAACAAAGATCACTTAGGGGTCGTTCAAGTATTACGTAAGCACTAGGGAAGGGCGGAGGAGTCTTTGGTTTGCTTATTTTGGATGACATGCTCCCATGTAGGGGAGTGTAGGTGATGATTACGCCATCTGTAGTTATTTACTTTTTTATCGTCACATCGAGAAGATCCATAAAAAATATAATTATATTTTTATTATGGATTTATATTAAAAAAAACAATACAGTACCTAATTGAAAATGTTTACGTAAGCATGGGGGAGCGGGTAAGAGCTTTGCTTACTTTTGCTGACAAGGGGGATGGGGGGGTAAATAATTGTAATAAATCTGCTCACGCAATACTTGAACGGCCCCTTATACTATATTCCACTTATAAATGTACAAGTTTGTGAGTATGTATGTATGAAACTACTGAAACAATCACATAATTATTGCATATAGATGATGATTATACTAATAAAATTTGATGTAATTAGTTCCTTCAGGAACAAGCGTAAAAGTTGTATTTGTTATAGAGTAACGCGACAAAGAACAGATTTATTTTATTGAAGTTTAAGTGTATATTATTTATAAACCCTTTTATATAATTCCGAAGCCTAGTCAAAGTCGTTCGCAGAATTAAGTGTAAAATAAACTATTTATAATTATATCGGAATAACAAAACTTCATGGTGTACATATTTGATGAATAAAACATTGTTTTGTTTTCAGTGTGATCTCAAACGTCACCCTACCTGCTCTAATTTAAAGCAATGGAAGGGTGGTGTGGTCCGGATAGACCCGTTAGCATTAGTGCAGGCTATTGAAAGGTAATTATAACAATAATGATTTCATATTTAATTAATGTAAACAATACGTCAGAAGTATAAAGTATTGAATAGTAGTAGTAGGAAGTACTAAGTCAGTGGTGGCCTAGTGGTTAAAGGGCTCGCCTCTCGTTGCCGAGGGCGCTCGTTCGATCCTGGCAAGTGCCAATGTGATTTTTATGAGTCATAAGTACTTTCTAAGAGTATTTAGACATCCCTGATTAAAAGAGGGTTCCCAAAGAGGGTTGATGTCAGGCAGGCGACCGGTCGTAAAAAACAATTAGCCAAAACTATTCACAACATGTAAGGCAGACACTGGCTTCAGCTGGGAAATTGCCAGGTAGAAGGAGTAATAGTAGGAAGTTTTTGAATAAAATCTTTATATTACCAGATATCTCGCTCAGCGTGGGTATGCCAGTGCGCGGCCTCGTGAGCCTAGTGCGGTGCAGTCAGACGACGAACCGGCCTCGGATGATGACGTCGACGACACACTCGCTACACCACCACACAACCCTACTGAGTATGTACAGGAACACATTATATTAATATATATCTCTTTGTACTCAGTTTCTGCTTTATCTATGTATAACTAGCTACGCTCGCGGTGTTCGGGATTTCCGGAATGTAACGTAGCCTATGTGTCATTCCTGGACGTCAGCTTCCTGTATACAAAATTTCATCAAAATCGGTTCAGCCGTTTGAGCGTGAAGAAGTAACAAACATACACACACTCACAAACTTTCGCAATTATAATATTAGTAGGATGATGGTAAACAAAGCCGGAGCTCGTAGATGAAGAATGTGTCTCTGTAATATAGATAATATGTATGTATAAATGGCATAACCAAATTCATCATTTGAAAATGCAACCATTTATAATATACCTATTTAAATAGTATGTATCTAACTTCCTTCGAACATCTGTAGACCATAAAAAACTTAAAAAACTAAAATACATGTCTATAAAAAAAATAGTAATGTTTATCGTTTAGGAAGTTAACTGATATAAAATAGCTTGTTTTTTATTCTTCAGTTACATCTTCGAGGCAAAGCATTTATTGTATCATTAACTATGCCTTTATTTGTTTCAGTGTGGACCATAAGCTGGAGTTCTTAATAGGTGACACTGTGTTGCCATATAACATGACTGTATACCAGGCGGTCAGACAATTTGGAGAGCAAACGGATGCTGACACTGATACTGAAACACCATTAGGTGGAATATATTTTAATATACATAATAAATAAAGGAGTTATTATTAATATTTAATCCATTATGTCATTGTCACAGCGAATGCTGGTATCTGGGTACAAACTCACACGATTTACTACCGCGCGGTGGAAGCCGGCGAACTTCCACGTTCAGACGCGACCACCTCCCGCAAGGGGAAAGGACAGCCCACCAAGCTATCATCACGACGTAAACCGGATCTATTGTGGAACGGTAGGAATAATAATGTTTATACGAAGAATTGTTGAAACGTACATACATATATGGTGTTTTATACAGGGTGACTGGTGAGTTACTATCAATATTTAAGGACGTGGTAGTTGACGATCATATATGACAAAATAAAAATTAATATAACATAAATATTAATAAACTTCTACGTAAAGTTAACCAAAAGTTATGTAATTAATTACGGATCGCGTGGATACCCTAGCTGCGTTATCGACACAAAACAGTTATGTACGTAGGTATATGTAGTTATCGCGCGGTAGTTTACCTACATCCAAACGCCGCGCGCCGCCGCGTGTTAGACCTTAGATAAACAAAAATGATCCAATTCCCTTCATACTTTAATCCTGGCTTAGGACAGGCAAAAATACCAAGATATTTCTTTCGTTTAAGCAACCAATTTATTGACTAGGTAAATGGTGTGACCTTGACACGAAAAATAATATGAACTGTTTACCTATCTTGGTATTTCCGGCGTATTTAAAAATGGAATCATTCTTATTTACAACAATTGTCAATCATTAAACTACCTATTTACCTACATAACTACACTAACCTTAACAAATGTTCAAAGCGAGCTCCTTCTCGTGTGATACACAGTTCGGCACGTTTACACATATTGTCTTTCACACGATTTAATACGAATGGGTCACTTTTAATAGTTTCGAAAGCACTATTGATTTTTAATTTCAACTCCTCTCTGTTGACATACATTGTAGCATACACAAGACGTTTCCTTGGGCATGTGTCGGAACACGGAACTGTCCGAAGTCTCGTAATCTTTGATTAGCGTTTAAGATGACGCTGGCCGTAGGTACTCGACGATTGGGAAACATCTCCCGGTACAAATTGATTGCGCCCGGCAAGCTTTCATTTGCACGCGCATACGCATGAACCATGTCCCAATATTCTGTATTTGTGTATTGAAAAGCCATATTTAATTACTAATAAGTAATAACGGGTCACACGCACACACGACAGATTATTATTAGGTATACGCGTAAGATCGATCGCTAGGCGCGCGCGCGGGAAGACGAACGTACGGACCTTACGGCGGACCTCGCGCGACTAATAGCCGACTAATGGCCCGCTAGCCACGGGGCGGGGGTTGGGGAGTAGCGACACACTGGCGCCGGCAAGGATGAGTACGTATCCAAACTTTATTTATTTATACGGAAATTTGGTCAAAAATTAAGTACCTATTTTTTTTACATAATTCGAATGAGAATCATGTACCGAGTATGCTCCTTAAATATTGATAGTAACTCAACAGTCACCCTGTATATGCTTCATATATTTATTTGTAACATCAAAAGGAAAGTTTTCGCCAAATTTCGTGACAAAAAATTGTTTTTGGAAGAGATAAAAATAAAAAACTAAAACTTGTTTTTTTGAGTTTTTCACATAATTTTTGAGGTTATGTGAAAAAAATGTAAATACAAAAGTTTTAGATCTTTTTATTACCTACAACTTTGCCACATAACATTTTTCATTAGGACTCTTAGTTTTTCCGGAAATCGAGAAAACCCATTTTTTACCCTTAAATAGTCACGCCCGTACCCTTCCCGACCTCAGATCGCCCGTAAATTATTTTTCCCTTAATTTTTATAATATTCCCCTCCTTTTGTCATGTGTTTCATTCTACTATAATTTAATTTCACTTTTCATCATTTTTAGAGACATCTGCACTGGCCTAATACAATAACATGTATTGTTCGGATTATACCACGCGACTTTATTTTGTTAAGAACTTTATATATACTCTCAACGTTTAATCTCAAGTCTAATTTTTAACAATATGTATTGTTGTTGATATATCAATTTGTTTCAATTCATTTGAATAACAAAGTGAGACATATCTTCATCGTCGACTTATAATTTGTATGATTATGTATGTGTGTATTAATAATTGTGTATGTGTTTATACAGAGGGCGTGGTCCCAGTGACGTCATCGCCGCTGGTGGCTATGATCCGCGCGGCGCTGGGTGCGGGCGAGGTGCGGGACGCGTCCCTCCCCGCCCTAAGCCTGCTGCGTGCTCTACACGCGCTGTCCCGTCACTGGCACACGCTGTACCGCGCCGCCTGTCTACCAGACCATAGACCGCTCGTACCCAACGCTGATTTCATCAACGCCAAGGTTATAACAATATCCACTTTATACTATAGTATAAAACACGGTTTGTCGGTGGGTGGCCTAGTGGTTAAAAGGCCAGCCTCTCATGCTCGAGGGCGGAGGTTCGATCCTGGCCCGAGCGAATACCAATATGATTTTTCCGAGTCATAAGTACTTGCTAAGAGTATTTAGATATCACTGATTAATGCATTCCCAAAGAGGGTTGATGTCAGGCAGGCGGCCGGTCGTAAAAACAAATAGCCAAAACTATTCACAACATGTAAGGCAGACACTGGGTATAGCTGGGAAATTGCCAGGTAGAGGAAGACTATAATATAAAACAAACCATGACATGTACGATCAGACATGTCGCTTGAACAATAGATTACCCAAAGAGAAGTCCATGCCAATAATTTTAAAATTATCTTAAAAAATGTTATGAAGGCTCGATTTTGTGAACTAATGATAATTTTCATCCCGGTCTGTATGTGACAATATTTCTTTTATATGTAAGTGAACCTTGTTCTTAAGTGAAAAAAAGTTATTTGAAAACCTCGTATTTTATCCAACAATTGATTAAAGATTAAAGTTTTTCCTACAGTCTTCATCAGTATCATAGTTTTTGCTGGCTTCAAGTATACTTGAAAATAAATTACACATATATGTATATTCGGATATGGAATTATTGCTAATTGAAAATATATATTTGTATGTGTTTCGCTTATTATTATTTATATACTGAAATGTCTTATTTATCTTTATAGCTGGCAGCTAAGGCGAATAGACAACTTCAAGATCCTTTGGTTATCATGACCGGAAATCTTCCTCCGTGGCTTAAAAAGATCGCGTATGCCTGGTGAGTAACGTTTACATACTATAAAAGTAACTTCAATATCTAGGATGTTGAATCCATACAAGTGTTTTGTGGCAAAAAGTATAATAGATTTACCTAATGAGTATAAGACATGTAATAACTTGTCTATAGCAAAACAAAATTTAACTGCAACACTAAGCTTTGTCCTTATTCATATGTATATTTCTAATCATATTAATAATAATATTCAAATGTTTTCAGTCCGTTCGTGTTCCCGTTCGAGTGTCGTCACCTATTGTTCTACGTGGTGTCGTTCGACCGTGACCGCGCGCTCCAGAGGCTGCTAGAAGCGGGCGGTGAGCGCGCGGCGGCCGGCGCTGACGAGCGGGTCGCGCCTCGTCTGGACCGACGCAAACGGACCGTCCAGAGACACAGCGTGCTCCGACAGGCTGAACATGTTATGAACGAATTCGCTCACTCTAAGGTTACTATGGTTATATACATATATGGAATGTTAAATACCTCAAAAACGTAGCAAAATACATTATAAACAGACGAGATCAGTTAAAGACCAATTTGGTTGGTTTAAGGTCTTATAATGATTTATTTACTACCTTAAACTGAAGTTTACACTTAATAAAAGCTGAACATGTCATGAACGAGTTCGCTCACTCTAAGGTCACTATAGCTATTATATATGGAATGTTAAATACACTTATAACAGCTCAATAACGTATCAAAATACATTATAGTCAGATGAGATCAGTTTCAGACCAATTTGGTTGGTTTAGTGCCTTATAAATTATAATGATTTATTTAGTACTTTAACCGAAGCTTACGCTTGAAGTTGCATTTGAAACCTTGATTTTTGCGAATAAGATGGATTATTGTTTATTTGCATGTATGCAAATTGCAAATGTCAACTAAATTACCATATTTCAAGCCTTGTTGCCAGTTGTCATCTTGCAAAAATATTACTAAATAATCACCTTTTATAATCCGCAGGCTTTACTTGAAATTCAATACGAAAACGAAGTCGGTACCGGTCTGGGGCCAACTCTCGAATTTTATGCTCTTGTGTCCCAAGAGCTACAGCGTGCAGATCTCGATTTATGGCACGGAAGTGAGAACTTCAAACAGAAACCGACGTCTTTCGGTGGGGAGATAGTGAAGAGCCAGCCGGTGGTGACCGATCGCTCATCGGACGCCGCATCGAGATTAGCGTCTTCCGTTCGTGATGCCTTGAATCTCGATGAGGAACGATCTCCAGAGCCTTCAGACTTAGAGAAGGAGACTCTGATCCCATCCCCAGCGCCCGACGCTACATACGTTTCGTGGGCATGTGGTCTGTTCCCACAGGCGGTCGGCCGCAACGCTAGGGCCTCACATCTATCAAGAGTCAAAGCGAAATTCCGCTTCCTCGGCAAATTTATGGCTAAAGCTGTAATGGACTCTAGGATGGTAAAAACTTAATTTTCATAATTTTAATTGAGTTTTAATTGTTATGTACTTATTAATATCTGTAATGTAGGTGGACATACCCCTGTCCGTGAGTATGTACCGCTGGGTGGTGTGTGAGCAGTCGTGGCTGGGGCTGAGTGATGTGCGTCACGTGGCACCGGAGCTGTGGCGGTCGTTGTGTCGCCTCAGACGTGTGGCGGACAGGGCGCAGGCCATCGCCGCTGACAACAGGCTCACTAGTGAACAACGAACACATATGGTGAGTTTACTCTATATTAATATAAATAACACACATTCATAGATTGATATCAATGAGTATACCGTGGCATAAATCAAATTCATTTATGTTAAATGCATTTATTTTTCAACCATTCTATACTTATTGTATTAGTTAACTTTACGTAAATTATCTATGATACGTTCTATATTTTTTCTGTTGTCTAAACTACACTTGCGCCTTACTTTATTTTAGTTTTCATCCACTACAAAAAGTACGGAAAATGTCTAAACACGATGACGTTAATGGTCGTAGGTTTATTATGCTAAATAAAAATCTCTTTTAATAATTCTCAATATCTCCACTAAAAATTAACTCCTGGGAGGTTTAAAAAATATCAATATTCTTTACTGATAAGGCGTTGAATTTATTTTATAATAGTAATAATCGTTTGATATTCAGGTAAATGCTTTGGAGCTGGACGGCTGTCCCATTGAGGAGCTCGGTCTAGACTTCATACTCCCTGGAGACGGCTGCACCGAGCTCAGGCGAGGCGGCCGAGACCTGCCCGTTACCGCTCACAACCTGCACGAGTACATTACACTCGTCACACACTGGCTGTTGTATGAAGGTATGTGTTTTAAAACTCATTTTCAAAAAAAAACACTGGCCGTTAAATGAAGGTTTTTAAAATAATTCCCAAAAAAAAAACACTGGCTGTTACAAGAAGGTTCGCGATTTTAAAATAATTCCAAAAAAACACTGGCCGTTACATGAAGGTTCGCGTTTTTAAAATAATTCCAAAAAAACACTGGCCGTTACATGAAGGTTCGCGATTTTAAAATAATTCCAAAAAAACACTGGCCGTTACATGAAGGTTCGCGATTTTAAAATAATTCCAAAAAAAACACTGGCCGTTACATTAAGGTTCGGGTTTTTAAAATAATTCCAAAAAAAAAAAAAACACTGGCTGTTACATGAAGGTTCGCGATTTTAAAATAATTCCAAAAAAAAAACACTAGCCGTTACATAGAGGTTCGCGTTTTTAAAATAATTCCAAAAAAACACTGGCTGTTACATGAAGGTTCGCGATTTTAAAATAATTCCAAAAAAAAAAACACTAGTCGTTACATGAAGGTTCGCGTTTTTAAAATAATTCCAAAAAAACACTGGCCGTTACATGAAGGTTCGCGTTTTTAAAATAATTTCAAAAAAACACTGGCCGTTACATGAAGGTTCGCGTTTTTAAAATAATTCCAAAAAAACACGGGCCGTTACATGAAGGTTCGCGTTTTTAAAATAATTCCAAAAAACACTGGCCGTTACATGAAGGTTCGCGTTTTTAAAATAATTCCAAAAAAACACTGGCCGTTACATGAAGGTTCGCGTTTTTAAAATAATTCCAAAAAAACACGGGCCGTTACATGAAGGTTCGCGTTTTTAAAATAATTCCAAAAAACACTGGCCGTTACATGAAGGTTCGCGTTTTTAAAATAATTCCAAAAAAACACTGGCCGTTACATGAAGGTTCGCGTTTTTAAAATAATTCCAAAAAAACACTGGCCGTTACATGAAGGTTCGCGTTTTTAAAATAATTCCAAAAAACACTGGCCGTTACATGAAGATTCTCTTTTTAAAATTTCAGATAAAAAAAACGTAAATCTATTTATGACGAGTGTCGAGTACAATCGTCCAAAACATGAGACAATGTTCGAAATATGAAAATTTAAAAAAAACGCTCCGATGAAATTTGTTGTTCTTTATCAATTCTATTTTTACTTTTATGTATTCTATTAATGCAATATGAATTTTAAACACAGTTTTCCTGGACGCAGCAATACCGCTTAATTATTATAATTAATATTTTTAATAATAATAATTAATTAACTATGTCTAATTTGTCTTTTATTATTTTGCAGGTGTTGTTAAGCAGATGGAAGCATTCAAGGAAGGATTTGAGTCTGTATTCCCATTAAATAATTTAAAAATATTTTATCCCGAGGAATTGGAACAAGTTTTCTGCGGAAGTCCGTCGGGTTAGAAACGTTTGCCTTATTATATGCCTAATAATATTCCTTATTGTATTGTTTCAATATATATTTTTCGTTTATGTATTTCCATTAATATGTATATTTCATAGGTGGTCGAGACCAAAGATGGGATCCCCGTCTGCTTGCTGAATGTATTCGTCCCGATCACGGTTACAACGCGGAGTCACGGGCTATAAGGATGCTTATTGATATATTAGCCTCATACAGCCGTGAGGAACAACGGCTTTTCTTACAATTCGTTACCGGAAGTCCGCGTCTTCCAACCGGAGGTACATATATCGATAACATTTTTAATAAATGTTTTATATGATTATTTATTATTTTCTCGTTTCTTCCACAGGTTTTAAGGCTTTGAACCCTCCATTGACGGTAGTTCGGAAATCTTTGGAGTCCTCGCTGGACCCAGATGAGTACCTGCCGTCAGTGATGACCTGCGTCAACTACTTAAAGCTGCCAGACTACAGCAGCGCGGAGGTGATGCGAGCCAAACTAAGGCTCGCTGCCTCCGAGGGCCAGCACTCCTTCCACCTCTCGTAAACCTCCCGCTGAATTCTCTTATAAAAGTGTGAATGCGGTTAGTGATACATTAATAGTTTTGTTATAGCAGCGCCCGAGCTCAGTGCGACTGTTCATGTGCAATCAGAGTGTTTTATTTCCTTACCTGTGTGACAGACACTGAAAGTGCTGTGTTCTAGATATGATTTTGTTTTCATTTAGATTTTTTTTTTAGATTACAGAGATATGTTAATAATTATATTTTGTGTTAATTTAATGTGATAGCTTTGTATATTTCTTTACCTTGAATAAAAATCCTCTCAATAGTAGTTTACTGTAAGTGTGTGTTAAGTATGTCCTCGGATTGTATAGACGAACCTGTTTCTGTAATGTGTCTTGACTGAGGACTCGTCGCAAAGATCACCACTATTATATTATTAACTTTACATATATTTTATTATATAAGCTACATTATGAAGGACCATTCGTCTCCTTCGAGATCCCATATGCGTTAACATAGCATTTAAAACCAAACGGTGTATGTTTTGATTAATGTTTAAGAATCATAAATGAGTAAAGAAAAAGTGCAAAATTTAATATGTAACAATTTCAATAAAACCATGTAAACAATATTGATTTAAAATGTGTTTTTCTTAACATATCTCCCATAATGGAAAACATCAAAGTGGCAGAAATGTTGCAAGAAGTATAACAGTATCCGACCAATGCTCACAATCCACCTGGATAGAAAGGTTTCTTTAAATAAAATCAAAATATATGTTTTATAATATTATATAATTTGCACAGACACAGAATCTTAATAATACACAATGAAGGAACATTTTCTATTGACAAACAAAATTATATACATCAATAATCAATTATTAAAAGGATAACAGTTTGTTTGGATGTTCTATACCCTAGTATGATTTAATAAAATAATTCAGGAATAACTACAAACACCTTTACCTACATAATAATTACTCTAATACAACAAAGAATGCTGACATTTTTATTAAAATGTCTACAATACCATAGCAAGCCACCCAAGAATAAGACAGGATCCTCCGACGGGGGTGAGACGTCGTAGAGCTCTTTCACCAGTAAAGGCGTGGTAGTAGCAAGTACCACAGAAGAGCCCCATACCAGCAATGAAGAATGAACCCGCCTACAGAGAAAAATATAATAGTTGATTTTGTTTATAATTAAGTCATAATAAACTAAATAATACAAAAGCAGAATAGTAGGTCTTATTCAAAAAGAGATAATATTTTATTTATATTTCCTAACTTATCTTCTTTTAGATATTCAACTGAACCTTAATTCAAACTTAAATTTAGTGAAAATATAATCAAAAACATTATTATTTCAAAGAGTATATTTAAATACAACAATGTATTGTAAAAAGTGATCTTCAGTCTTCACTCATGCTATTAATATTTATAATTAGTATAATTTATTCAATGACTTGCAATACTATGACAATATATTTTGATAAATATAAAAAAAGACTAAATTACTTACGATATATGGCCTTCTACATAATGGAACTGTCATTAGTGCCAGTGTATGTAGAAAATGAAATCTGTTCGCTGTTTCGAAGATTTTTTTGAGATCTTCCTTTGTATCAGTTTCTGGAAAATGTCGATGTGCTCCCATGGCGCCCAAAACAACGGCGGTGGCCCCGCTTAGGCCTGCCAGTCTGACGAAAGGCCCGGCTGCTTGTGCAAGCTCCCACAACGGCATTTTGATAATTACTGGCGGAGGTGGTGCTACAACTGATTTGTCTTTAAAAACTCCCTGTAAAGGAATATATATAATTAATAGTGATTTGAATTTCTCTGCTGTCACTTATATATAAAAAGGTGACACGCAGAGATGCCTTAAATCTGAATAACTTACAACACTTCGTAAAATATTCATTGCCCCCTCCGTCACCGTATTTATCATAAGGGTATCCATGAGATTAACCATACCTTTTGGGTTTTTAAAACTCTAGTGGTAAACGAATGTATAAGGAATATAAAATAGAATGTTAAGCAATAGTTATTATGTTCTGGAACTAACTTTATCGTTTAAAGGTTTATCCCTAAATATTGATATTTTTATTTGTCAGTGTCAAAAGATAAATCATTAAAAGTTGTGGTTTGAGTTCTAGTGTTCATTATGTGTAATCTGTATTATTATATAAAAATATTTTTAAAAGGTTTTGTCTTCTCTTTCAACTGGCAAATATAGATTATTATTTTTAATTGTTACAAGCATCTTCTTTATACATGTACGCCGCCATAGTTACTAAATTTTGTTTGTTCATGGTAATAGCTGATATACTCATGTAAGTGACATTTTCGCTAGTTTTATTCATTTAAATGAAAGTAATATTTTTCGAATTATACTACGCGACTTTATTTTTGAAAAAAAAAAACCTATATATTCCCGACGTTTCGGCTACTTTACTTTTTGCAGAATTAAAGCAAACTAAAACTACCTGACGAAAAAGGATGTTTGGTCAGGTGTCTTTTTGGGGTATTTGGGACCAGACTGAAAAGATTTTCACCTGAAACTGCTCATTCTTCGTAATACTGCTTTCAGTCAGACATAATTGCATTCCATTAATACAATCGGCAAACTCAAAAATTTAGGAATTGAGTTCAAAAACCCAACGGTTTATCAACAACAGCTGCTAATCAAATGTTCCTTTTACCTTTTGCAAAAAGTGGACGCTGGCTCATAATGAGATTGATAGTGCTGACTTGATATTTGATTATCGCTGTAGGTAACATGAAACACAAACACATAATAAATAAGCTGAAAAATCTTAGATTTCATAAAGTTACATCTAAAATAATAACAGGAGTCTTCGTGGGATACACTGGTAACAGCAGTGTTTACCAGTATGAGTTTGGATGGTTATGAAAAATTTCCTTTATTCATATTCAACTCGAGATTTCAATAATCTTTACATTAATTAAAATAAAACCGTTTTATATACAAAAAATATCAAATCATTATCAACGTCTAACGTAAAAATGGCAAATAAATAATTGCGGATTTTTACTAGAAAATCAGACATTTTTTTCATGGCATTCAATAACTTTATTCTGTAATATATTGCCAATTTTGATCAATGACCTGTTGCCATCTTACAAGTAGCATCATAATAAAACTTCTGCATCTTATCAGCAAAAAACTAAATGGGGTACGATTTAACATCATCATCATTATTGATGATTTTACCATTCAAGGAGTTTTGCACAGATCTAAACAAAAAGTAATCCGGTGGTGCAAGGTCAGGACTGTATGGTGGATGTGGTAAAACATCCCAAACAAACTCCAATAATTTTCGGCGAATGACCAAAGATGTGTGTGACGTTTTGGTATTGTGTGTGGCATTATATTGTCATGATGGAATACAATATTTTTTAGATATGTTGATTAGGGTCGCTTTTATTTAACTGTATTGTTTAATTTTGTTACTTGTTCAATTTAGACATCAGATTAATTGGTGGTTAGTTCGAGTTGAAAATAGACCACCTTTGTTATACCACCAAACGGATAACATATCCTTCTTTTGATGAATATCAAAAGAAGGATATGTTTTGATGTGGTTTGACTAATTTATCTAGCCTGCTCCACGATGTTTTCCGCTTGATATTGTTGTAAACAACCCATTTGTCAGTTATCACTCGTTTTATAAAATGCATCATTTTCATTACGTTTCTTTAGCTTATCGTAGCTGTTAATGCGTGCCTTAAATGCATTTCTATTAGTACGTGAGGATCGAGTACGTATCGAGTTTTTGAACTGAACGAAGTTGTTTTAATTTATTTTCAATACATTTATGTTCCTGCAATCCTATGTGTAGTACTGTGACGATCCGAATTGATTGACATCATCAACTTCAATCGGACGACCAGAGGGTTTTTCAAATTTTAGTGAAAAATCATCAGAGCGAAATTTTAAGGTTTTGTAACTATAAACAGCCCTTTTATGAGTTTGTGACGCGATTTTTCCTTTGCGGGATTAAAAAAGCTTTTTTTACTGATTGATAACTAAATTGCTAACTAAGTGAAATCCGCAATTACTTATTTGCCAACCTGTATATATCTATTTATTTTCAAATAAATAATTTATTTAAAACATTTTGTATTTCGATTGAAAATAAACTCTAGTAACTACTTGTTATTCTGCTGCCCTAAACTAAAAGATGTCGTGATAGAAGATATCTTAAACATTTTCATTGCATATAAATAATTCTTCTGGGTGCTTCATGTATTTCTATATGAAAGAAAGATAACTTGTAATAATTTTTTGTCTATATTTTGTCTATAAATTATACGTAAAAAGCTTTTTTTTATGTGAATGGTGGCAAACTAGCAGATGACCTACTTGATGTAACGTAGTACCGTCGCCCATGGACATCCGCAACATCTTTGTTACGGATGAGTTGCCAACCTCGTTCTTTTAAGAATAGGGAGGGGTGGGAATAAGGAAATGGTAGGAAAGGGTGGGAAATAGGGATAGGGCAACCGGCTCTCTCACTCATCGGACGAATCGCAGCCACTAAAGGCAACTTCACGCCGATCTTCCATGAGTATTTACGGTATAACCGATAATTATCATATGAACGGAAACGAAAAAATATAACAACCAAATGTGTACAACTGGATTTAATAACGGTAAATTTAATAACGGTACTTATAAAGTAAGAAACTAATGATACATGGTTATTATTGGATAATGAACATTTAACCTTTAAGTGGAGACACTTTCTTTTACAATATATATAGTTTTGCAACAGCCAACAAGTAGGTACATATTAAATCAACAATTATTATAAAGATTAAAGATAAACGTATTAAAGATAAACCGATAATTACAGCAAAGGCGACAATTTAAGTTAAGTTTTGAATAGATGGATAGAAAATAAGGATGATCAAGGAACTACTGTGTTAATTTTTCGCACACGGTGCTTACACAATGATCGTGCTTCTATTTTTTCTGTTTATTATGTAAATATAAGACAAGTTGATACGAATTAACCTTTAAAATATTTGTCTCTACTAAATATTCAACCAATTATAACAAAATACATATTAGTTAGTATACAACACAGTAAAAATTATTGGAGTTCAAAAAGATATCCACAAATAGTAGATTTATAGATACATTTATGACATTAAACTAATTTTTTTTCGTATAGCATAGTATTAGTTGTGCCTTTAATTTAAAATCGATGTTTAACCTTTTCAATCAAAACATTTTAGGCTGAACGAATGGTCCAATGAAAAAGAGTAACTAGGAAATGATGAAGCTAGTTAAAGATAGCTGTAAATGACCTTGGAATTATTATATTAAAAACAAAAATTCTACTTCATACAATGTTTATTTATTTTATATTAAATTTATTACATTAGCAAAAAATTTAATAATTATGATAAATAATGTCACATAAGCTCAAATACAATGATTCTTATATTAAAATGAAATCATCCAATTACGAATTGACAAGAATACCGAAATATTGAAAATTTACATTCATTCACAACCACAAAACTTAGTAGGTAGGTACATATAAAATTTATATTTAATAGAATAGTTTTTTTTGAAGTTTTTAGGCAATATATATTTTTTAAGCTATGGTGTCTTTTGCGCTGGAATGGTTTGATATTTTGCCAATGTCAACGTTTTTATTTGTTGGGTAAATTATATTCTTCAATACTGTGTGGAGGAAACACGAAATACGAATTACGAATTACTCACATATTTCTTAGTTGACAGATATATGACAGCAGACGTTATGCATTACGTTTAGAAAAAAGTAGTTCATAGAGTTGTGAAATACAAATAAATAAATTTCAATGAATAATAATAAAATACTAATAAATTGTGTTTCTACAATCTATGTAATTATTTATATGATTTACACAATTGCTATATATAATATTATATAGTTATCCATAGTATCCTACTGATTTATCAAGTTGTTCTTTAATATTTTTACTTAACTACTATTTTTGACATAAGACTTTTTATGTTTTATATTTTTAAAAAAATCACATTAATCCGTACATCGCATTTCCTTATAAGGAATCTGAATTATTTTTAATTCTGTTATTACAATTTCACAAACACATTTTTATATAACAGGTACCACCTCGGTGTCTATTTGGGTACTCGGGCAACAAACACCAGCGTATCTGGAACATAACATAAAATGTACATATAATTAAAGCACAAAAAACGTGAGTTCGATTTGTAAGGAAAAGCTATAAGAATAAGTATTGCTCTATAGTTTTTTATGCCATTCGTAAACAGGTACCTGTTATCAAATTCTATATATAGAACATTCTTCAACAAATCTTTTTTGTTATATAAAATTTTCAATGTGTTAGATTTAAATAAAAAGAGATTCATCAAATCTTTAAATTACGAATGAAAAAAAATCAAAGTGTTGCCATCAGGTTAACGACACGTAGTTTTACTAAGAAAAAAATATATCAAGTTCATGGCAAAGTAAATTAAATACGAAATACACTCTTGAATTGTTGTGTCAAAAATAAAATCATAGAAAATACACTCGATAAATACAAGAGTAACATAAAGCGCAGGTCACACAAACATTTTTTCGATAATGTCATGGGTGTAGTCTATCACAATTGTTACTTTTTTAATGAACTTTTCCATTTCTTTTTGTGGTATTCCTTAACAAATCTATTTTTTTTTAACTCACATTATCTATATAATCACAGGTATTAAAAGAAAATGATCTTTTTCACACCGAGTTTGTTAAGGATATGTTACTATTATATACTCCATATTTACTTTAAAAATAAATTAATAAATTAAATAATATTTTGTTATTTGATGTGTACTTATAATGGGTCGTAGACAAATATTCTGTGGATAATTATCATTTGGTACTCACTTGTTGTCAACGCGGCAGTATGATCTGCGATAGTCATCTTCAGTGAGGTTCCTGGCTGCGGAGCAACGAGTGATGTAAACACAGGAGGCTTCAACAGGTACAAGAGGCAGTGATGGACCCGTTGCGTCAACGGGCACATTCGTACATGACTCGTCGGAGTTACCACGAGGAGCCTTCACAGATAACAAAAGTTGTAACAGATAAGAAATCTTGTAACAGAAATAATTCTATTAAAACTTTTTGTTTAATATACATATCACATTTAATAAATCTTATGTATGGTTAGAGAAACTTATCTACTTTGTAAAATAATGTCATACCGGATTTATATAAAATATTTCGTGTGAAATAATATTTTAAATAATTAATAAATGATTGCTTCATACATTACGGTCTTTAGAGAGCTGTAAAACTATTTCGGTTCCATTATCCATAAACACGAGAGCGTCAGCGGTGTTGTTCACTAAACCTAAAGTCCACATGTAGTTCTCTAAATGGTATTTCTCCTGATCTGGGATTTCAGTGGTGGCACTTTGGAAAAACTGCGACCCTGGTACTGGGGTCGAGATAAATGAATTTGAACCTGAAATATCATTGACAAAATAAATTCAATTAAACTGTATTGAACATAAATAATATCGCTTTATAATAAACTATTACTTCCAGAAATACAAATTATATAAAAAAAATCAGAACGACAGCATGTTTTTTGGTTTGTTTAAAATAATGGCAGTAATACAAATGTCTTGTTATTAAGTTACTTAGACGTCTGTTGAGTGTCGGGCCTCCGAATGAAAGTGGTCTCGCCGCCATATGCCAGTCTGTTCAACAAAATATGTGGAGAGTTAAATAAGACAAAAGAACATAATTTTTTTTGGATATACCTCATATATCTCTATAAGCAATATCAAGCTTCATATACCGAAAAGCCCTCATGCACTTAAAGCCGCAATAATAAATAAATTATGTATGTAATAAAAGAATGATTTATTATTATTATTTATTATTATTTTATATCATGTGCCCTATCCATGCCAACTAAACAAAGAGGTTCCACGTGGAAAAGCAATATTACTATTAAACTTGTGAGTATTTTTCATTGTTTCTTATATCTTATTGCCAAAAACATGCATGAAACATACAATTTCCTTTTTGTAATAGTTATTTATTTAGTTATGTCATATCTCTTCTTCTTCTTAGCGTTAATCCCGTCTTGTGACTGGGTCCGCTTTCCTGCTGTTTTTCTTCCACTTCGCTCTATCATGGACATCTTCCTCATCCAGATCGCAGTTATACATGTCATTAGTGACGACGCTTAACCATCGCAATCGCGGTCTTCCCCTTTTTCGCTTGCCAGGTAAATTGCAGTTAAGCGTTCTATTGCCTATGTATTGAGGTGGTCTTCTTTTAACATGTCCATACCATCGTAGTCGGTTCTCCTGCAGTTTGTCGGCGATGTCGCGTATCCCGAGGCTACCACGCACGTACACGTTGCGGATCTTGTCGAGCCTCGTCATTCCGCACATCCACCTCAACATTTTCATCTCCGTCACACGAATGGTATCAACATGTCTTTTTGTTACAGCCCACGTCTCGCTTCCATATATGAGAACTGGTCTTATGATGGACTTATAAACTAGCCCTTTGAGCTTGATGGGCATCCTCGTGTCGCAAATGACTCCAGTAAGCTCGCGCCACTTCACCCAAGCAGTGGATATACGGTGTTGAAGGTTGCTTTCCAGACTACCGAATTTGTTTATCATACTACCTAGGTATTTATACTCGTCGCACTGTTGGACCACCTGCCCATCAATCACTATTGGGTCCGTGCGAGGGGTAGAGACATTACACTCCATGTACTGGGTCTTAGTAACACTTAGTATCAATCCTCCTGCTTGTAGTTGCTCTTTCCATGCGCTTAATGCTACTTCAAGATCTTGACGACTTGATGTACATATCGCTACATCGTCTGCGTATATGAAAGTCCGTGAAGCTTTCTGTTGAGCATCTTCAATGAGTGTATCCAGCACTAGACTGAACAAGAATGGACTCAGAACATATGTGGTATTTAATAGCTGTTTGTTAGATGTAAAACGTAATACATGATACAATAGTAAACCTTATCAAAATCGGAAACCATAAATTAAATTACACCAGACATTTAAACAATATTATTTTGTCTTCACACTTTATAAATATTGTAGTGCCGTCACAAATGTCGATATTTTATCTCAATATTAAACTTTTATTTTAATTGTAAAGTTTGGGTTACTGTTAGAAAAGTATAATTAAACCTTTTTTTAAACGTAAAGACGAAAGACTTTCAAATAATCTTTGTAATAATATATTTCCTTACCTATAGAGCCATCATAATCGTCCTCGTCTGATTCGAATCTGTAACCTGATTCAATATACAGGTTTATTTCGTATGAAAAAAACTGAATCAAGATAAACTAATTGTTATTTTCGATTTTATTTACTAATGACACTTAAATCTTAAATGGCCAATCTGTCTAATCGGAGTTTCGTATGAACGTTAATCTTGGTACGTGCAATGTAATTTTTGTATCATTTAAATGTAATAAAGAAAAAATATATATATAAATTTATTTAAAATTTAAACGGCAGTATGAATGAGGTCCGCTACAAATGGAACGTTTTGTATCTTAAGGACATGCACTAAAAACAAGTAAAAATATATCGAATCTGTGGTACTCCGTCGTTATGACTAATTTTCAACGTACAAAATTGAATTAAGAATTAAATTAAAGTTGTCCCAGATAATAAACATTATTGTTGTGTGGCTTGCAACCCTTGATTTGGATTTGTAATAATGTGTTTCATTCAAACTTACTTGTATAACCGCCTCCTGAAAAATAATACGACTGATTTGTAGATGACATTTTATTTTTCATACATATAAAATTATGTAATCAATTTAATTCTAGAAAATAACAAATAAGACTTACCGTAGGAACCAAATCGGCGTACTGGCGCTAAAATATTAATACACAATTAATATATTTAAAACTTTATGTTATAATAAATAAATTTGTAATTAGTACACGATACTTACATATAATATAACTTCTAAACATAGAATCTGAAAAGGAAATTGTAAATTTCAGGTTTTAGATCGATATAGTTTTAGTTGATTGAGAGAAATAGCCATTTAAATTGACCTCTGAACATGGCAATATTGTTCTTAATTATTTTTTTATTATTTATATAGGTAGTTAAACAATAAATTCTCACTCGTAAAAATTTCCAGATATCTATTATTAGTGGACAGCTAGACACAACTTAAGTTAGTTTTAAAGTACTCAAGCTTTTGTTGTAAGTGTTAAATAATAATAAAATAATAAAACTTGATCTTACCTGCACTGTTGAAACTAAACTGGTCTGAAATATAATTTATAAAATTATTAGAATTTTTCCAAAATAATCATCGTTTATAGACATACTTAATCTTATAATAAATATTATATACAAAGAAAAGTTATTTTTTTTCTTATCGCAAGAAACGTTTAGTCACTTCACTTAAGAAATGTTTATTTTCCAACCTATCACTATCAATGTTTAACACTTTTATTTTCAAATTTGTGTCAATTCTTAACATATTATTACGAGTTTTTTTCGGATTCAAAAACTATAACATATATATTTAAGTAACATTAAAATAAACGAACTCACCCATATCTTGGTAATGATGATCTGCATGCCAATACAATATTTCACAGAGCGATACACATTATTAGCCCCAAAAATATTATAATGAAAAAACGTGCTGTCGTTCTATTAATTTAACAAAGCTTATTGCTGTTTTTATGTATTAATGCTCACCAATGTCGTCAAAGCTTTCGTCGACCTCCTCGGCTTCTACTTGAGCATGGAAACCTCCTATCAAAGCGAGAGCGTCTCCATTCCCACCCATAACTTTAATTCAACGAAATTTTGATTTAAATTTTCGTTTCCAAAACAATTTTTCACATATTACGTACGAGCATGCAACGATCATCACAACCTTTATTTGATATTAACCCAAATTCATTAGTGATAATGATAAATGATTGATGTAAATGCGATGAGTTCACCGTAACGAATTGTCTGTTAACACTTAATTAAATTGAGAATTAATTTAAATGGGGTTATTTTTTATTAATTATGTATTAGTTATTCCAATTTTTAGACAAAATGCAGTACAAATCGGTTAAGTTGCTTGTGATAGCATAGAATAGCAGATAGTGAGTAGCCGACATTCACACTTATACAAATTATGGCATTTACGAAATTAGTGGTAGGCGGCATAACATGATTACTACCAAAGCGAAATGATTTAGTTCCTCATAAATAAGAAAGAACTGAACTTACCCGTGGGTCTGTATGCTTGTGGGGCTATCAATAAATGATGACTTAAAGGTGCTTGAGGCATTGCGTTAAATGACAGAGCTATAACAAAAGGAATGATACGACTAGAAAATGATAATATTTCCTCTAGAACTTCTATTATAACATTAAAATTGTAGTCTAAAGAAAACAACAACTTTATGGACAATCAATTATTCGACCAAGAAACGAGAAGTAAAAGAAATGTCAAATTTTAGTAAGTCTCTACTGATGATAGGTCTAAACAAAACAAGCTTGAACTTAAACTGGCTTATCCAGGTTTGCTTCATCACAATTTTAGCCCAAATACATATTATGAATCGTTTTTTTTTTACTCTTATTTACTTACGTGTAATACCTGAGAACTGATCTGTAAAAAAGAAAATCCACATTAGTATTCGTATTTGTGCTTTGCAATATCATAAGTATAGAAATCAGGATTTGAACCGGACTCGTAAAAAAGCAGCTATTTACAAACTTATGGAGGTAGTGGTGTTTAATAGAACTTTTTATTCTTCAGCATATTAGGATGGACAATATTACTAAATGTCTTATACATACTGTTGCTATTTTTGTCTACAGATTCAGCGTCCACCGCGTTCGTTTCGTTCGGCTTCACCACCACCAATGACGTCAGCGGAGTCACGAACGAGTACTAAACAATAACATAAAGATATTCCTTAAAAACGATATTATAAACAGATTATAGAACAATTTCATATTAACAATAAATAAAGCAAAATACCTTTTAATTAATTGACATGTATGTATCTTAATGAGTGTTATTTGTCCTACCTTCAGCGCTAAATTAAGTGCTTTCTTCTCATGTTCTTTAGCGGCTGTATCTTCGGAAGCGTCACGTTGGTCCAACAGTTGTTGTATACTGAGGTACGCCCACAGACGCTCCAGAGGTAAGAAGTCTTTTACGCGAGTGACTTTGATCTTTGACTGATCATTTTCATATGGAATCTGGATAAAATCGAAATGTTTTAAATTGGTGGTGATTATGGATCGTAATTTATATCACTAAATGTGGTTTCTGTCCATATGGACTTTTTTTTCTGTATAGGTTGACAATATTAAAATATATTATGTAAGATCTACGATGAACTGTAAAAATTAGAATGTTTAATCACCAATTTGCCATCTTGGTTGCCGCAGAAGCCACTAACGACAGGTTTCAACTCGACAGCGTCGTCAGAGAGCTCGCCCGCCACGACTACCTCTGAGCCCGCGTACACGGTACGGAACTTGTTCTTACTGACTGAACCCTCTTTTATCTACAGATGAAAGACGTATTAATGAAAAGATTTAAAACTATCCTATCAATTGAACTTCACCTTAAGTGTAATTACTTCAAGGTTTAAAATGGTATGATTCCCAATTGGACCTGCATTGACCAAAGAAAAAATGTAACCAATTACCTGTTCCCGTGGGTAGGTGAACTTGACGTGAGCCAGCAGTGGCGATGAAACCTGTTTGTAGAAGTCTCTCAGCTGAAGCGCCGCGTCCGCCGCCTCGTAGATGTGCCTCATGAAGCCTTCGTTACGAAGCGATAACTTTCTCAAGAAGTTACGATCCGCATCCTCACCTAAACATGAATCATACACTGAAAATCCTACTTTTAAAGCTGCAGGTTTGTGGAAATTTATATGGGCTGATATTCTTTATCCATATTCTGAGTTTAATATTGTAATAGAGTTATTTTGGAGTATAAGGGTTGCCATAAGTTGGTTTTGTATGTTACCGAAAGCAAGTGAGAACAGAGAAGCCCTCATTTCTCCGGAGTTCTTCTCGGTGATGTGTGAGATGATACGTGAGGTGCTGGTCTCGCCGATGGTCGGGTCACCGTCCGTCAGGAAAATAATGATGGGCTCCAATTCATCTGGTTAATAATATAGTTTATATTAAAAACAGGATTTTCATGAATATATCTTTATATAAAACAAAGTCGTGTAAGTTACACTATTTATAACTCAAGAACGACTGTACTGTTCTGTTTGGCTTAAAAATTGGTGGAGAGATAGCTTAGAACAAGGTAAAGGACATAGAATACTTTTTATTACAATGAAAAAGAAAAAAATAAGTAGATCAAATCCAAAATCTTCGCATCTACTATATTTAAGGATAAATAGAGTTCGAACAGTCAAATATACAATTTTAATTCTGAAAATAAAGCAGATGAAGTCGCGGGCAAAAACTAATAATTTCATATCTAAATACCGTGCAATAATGCAGTGTATGTCAAATTTTGGATATTCATATGTAATTTACAATATACTTACGGACTGGTTTGGTTTTCAAGTCGTTGGCATTTGCTACCGCTTTTTCGTTTGCAGCATCACTTGAATTAGATTTTTCCGAGGAAACATCTTTATTTCCAGAGAACTTATGAATAAGATCCATAGCTACGCTTAAAGCGCTGTCGATATTGGTTCCTGAAACAAAATGGTACAAATTATTAACCTAGATTTTAATACATAATTTATGGCTTCTTTACTAAAGTTAAGAAGGATTTTCCGAAGATTTTCCAGTAATTTAAACAAACCAACCTCCATTAGCCCTCAGTCTGGAAATGATAACCTTTGCCTTAGCAATGTTCTCGGGTGAAGCAAGTGATGGTGAAACAAGTTTCTTGTTTGACGATGACGTTGATCCATACCACGAAAACTTTTGAGGTTCAGGTTGAGGTTCATCCGCTTCTTTCAGCTCATGGACCTAGAGAAATAATTGATGTACTACTTTAATTTATAAAGAACATTTGGTGCTAAAATGTTCTATACTATATATGTTAGCTATAAAGAAACGAAAGTTTTTCTATCTGTTTTATGAAATTGATATTTTCTAAAAATTTGTTATATAAAAGTTCATAAGTCATTTGTTTACCGAGTAGTCTGAATTAAATTCAACAATGCTGAAGTAATCGCTCGGGTTGAGGTCCGACAGTATGGCGTTCATGGCTTCGATCAATTGTTCAACCTTGCGACCGCTCATAGAACTGGAAGTGTCGAGGACAAACACCACGTACTTATTGAGGGGCGGCAACGAGCTTGGTGCCAGGAAGTGCACAAAATATCCATCATTCACCTGAAAAATCATAATTTTTGTTCACGAACATTGTCATAAACCAAAAATGTAATAGATTCCGTTTGCAAAGCAATAAACAAATATATATTTCTGTATAATTTTATTCTTCTTGAAACACTTCTTACAACATTAATCTAACGTGAAAGTCTTTAGCAAATACGTCTTGTTACGAAACTGGCTCGAAATTGAGCCCTACACAGCTTTTTAATATGAAGAGTAATTAATTACCAAGACTTCTCCATCATTAGAACGTTCCACGTCGTATTGAACAACAAACTGTCCCAAAACTCCGTCTCTGTTGTCTTCTTCCTCATTGTTGTCCCAATAATGATGTGTCACGGTATCTTTTGTTTTGTCCTGCAAATTAAAAAAGTATTATCTTAAAACTGTTGTACAATCATTCTACATGTTTCATAAGTCAATGTCACTTCCATATACCTTGTATATCTTAATAAGGTTCATCTGTTCGTCCAAATCGGGCGTGAATGTTATGGTAGCTTCCTTGTCACCATTTCTTGTTTGGACAGCCTTCGAATTTTCTGCAATTTTGATATATTTATGGCTTTCAGAGTCTAATTATTGCCGGTTATTGATTTAAGTTAACAAAATAGATACTGTTCTAAATAAAGAAATCATTGAAGATGCATATTTTAAGTTAGAAATTTTAACTGATAAGATTAGAATGTATAAAAATTACTCTCAAATAAAACTACTGTTAAAACCATTTTTAAAAATTCGTCACCTACATCAATCAAAATTTATAACTCAATACTCGTACTGGTGAAAGTGTGAAAGTCATTTTAAATAGTACTCACGTGCGTCGTTTTCTGTAGCATCGATTTCATTGCCGGTTCTGACTTCAGGCACTCGGAGCGTTGTGATCTTCTGGGACTCCTTGATGTGTACCACAACCTCCAGCTTCGGCACTAAGGTTCCTGGGTGAAGGTTGATTGCGTGGTTGTAAACGCCGTTGCGACGAACCAGTAACTCTTCATAGGTCAGATTGAATATGGCCACACTTTTTGGTTCCACGTTCACTGATACTGTGAAATGGTTTGAATCACGAGCTCTGAAAAATAAATTATACACATGTTTCAAAGCGTCTAAATTCAGACTAATCATTTATCACGGAATTATTTCAAAATTGACGTGGTTATTTTATTGAGTATTGCTTACTTGGCCGCGATGTGGGCCGCCCCGGTTCCCTGGGAAACAGCTTCGTTGAAAATTTGTTTTGCTTCATTCTTTTCTTTTACGTAAGCCTTATATGATTTCCCACCCAACGTCCTGGAACACAGCAATAATTAAGTTTTGTAATTAACATACATATAACGCTGACTTGAGAGTTTGAAAAACGTTTTATCACTAATGTGAAAATATCTATAATAATTGCCGGTAACTTAAAAAAAGGATGACAGATCCGTAAATTACCAATTAATTATTCGAACAATTGATGTTAATTTGATTAGGTTGCTATAAAAGGCTTACTGGACTGTATAGAATCATTTCTTCGTAATCATAACAATGCAGTAGATTTTGGACAATACGTCATTATTAACAAACGGATCAAATGTAACAATGGTTTTTTCAAATCTATCGAAGACGATACCCGCTATTCGTATTACGTAATGTTCTTATCATCTTCTTTAATAACATCTTCTATGACATTAATGTGTTGTACAATTTGTGTGGAAAACCCTCACTTAACTTCCGATTAGGTTAAGGTTATCAGTTGTTTATATTTTGTATGTAGTTGACTCATAAATGTGTCTTTATTATCACTTAAAATATATTTATTTGAAAGGAAAAGAGAGACTTGTGCAACAAATTTAAATTTTATTCTTTATAAATTTTTGTTATTATTCTTTATTCATATTTTTTAAAATGTATCTAACATTGTAAGTAAGTAGAATAGTTATAAATCATAATAGTATACCTTGTTATTCCTATTCTATATAGTGATTTGTTACAACTAGATATAAATTGACAAGGCTGCTTACATGATGAAGCCGCTGATGAAGGCAGTCTCTGGCAATAGCACATGGAAGGTTGCTTCTTGTGCTTTTGAAGCTGGGTTCCTGACATGTGTGACAACAGCTGTATGAGCATACCGCATCGTCACCTCTGAGTTAACTCTCATTTCTGTCACTTTGATAGGAGCGTTTGGTTCATCGGTGACCGGTTCAGACGGCGCAGGCGTTGACACCTGTTCGAAATAACGTTGAAGAACATAGAAGTTATAATAATTTCATACAGTATCTCCTCAAAATTCTATGTGACATCTAAATACACACCTCATCATCTGTCTTGGCAACCACCAAAGTTTCGGTGCTAGAAATTGCCGCGGTTTGTGCTTTTGCAACGATAAAAGCTATATAAAACAGGAATATCCACGATTTCTTCATTTTGTGTTCCTATATAGAAATAAAACAATTTATTAAATAACGCAATTTGCATGGAGCGAGTTCGTTATGTGTGCTGTAAAAAATATTAGTTAAAAAACAAGACGCTATAAAAACAAACGGGACTAGATGTAAAATCAATATGATATACCTAACGTCTAAAAAACATATGGCCTTGAAGATTGATATTGGAAGCAATTTTATTTATCGTTATTGTTATACGGGAATCTCTAACATGTTTCTGTATAGATAATTTTTAAAAACAAAATATGTAATGTTTCAAAGAAATTATTACTAATCCTGTAACAGGAAAATAACCTGTTGCTGGACAGGACACAGGTTTGGTTTTATTTTTTTCATAAAGCTATAAATATACCTTAGAAGTCCAGTCGTGACACTAATATTTTCACGTCATTCCAATACTAAAACATGATTTTGAAACTATCTAATAAAATCTAAACCAAAAAGGAAATGATCTTTAAGCATCGATTCCCTAAAAAAAAATATCATCCTTATTATTTATCCTACGCTATTTTTAGTTTTAACGATAGATAACAATATATTTAAGAGTGAAGCAAATGAAGATGAAAATTTAACAAGAAGATAATAATCAATATGACCCAATGTTTGATATTAATTTTCGTTTATTTTGTACATACGAGTTTTCTTCCCAACATATTATTATCGAAAACACTATTGCTTATTAGGTGAGTACTTATATACTTGTTTGTAATATGGATAAGTTCAAAATATATTTTTATTAAGACACAGATAGTATTTTTCTGTTTTAATATATCTATTATTTAGGTACATGACATTACAGATAACATTTAATACACGACGTGACCACAAGCCGACTTGAAAACATATATATTATACAGTGACCATATATATCGGATGTCATGTAGTTAGATATATAATAATACAAATATATACATAGTTTTGCTTCCCAACGCATAGCAACGTTAAACAAAACAAGTTTATAACCAGTCAAGATCAAAAGATTTAAAGTCGGTTACGTCGTTAGTACAATTGGTATCCGAGAATGAAGCAGCATTCAATTTACAATCAACACTATACCGATGATTTTCTTTAGACTCTCAACATTAATTCCACCGGCCGGCTTAGGATTATATACTCACAGTTTTGTTTACTCTCAACGAGATGATTGCGTCAATTGCCACTCAATTTCTGGCACGTTCCGTTTCCACTCCCTGTGGTTGTAATAGAAATAAGTGGGCGCGTGCGTTCCCTCCCTCGTCAGCCACGGAACTTGTTAGCAGCCCACCGACATCGCTTATAAGTACGCATCATATCTACGACGTATGCATCCAAGTGTTTGTTTTTCAAACTAGGGTTTCCCGGTGTATGTAAAATTAACTCCGAATTAGCTAGCTGGTTTCTTAGAATAATTTATCGGAAATATTGAAGATGTTTTTACAAAAAGATACATACGTATTTTATTACATTCTATAATTGGTTCTATATATAAATATTTTACGAAATGCAGTTTCTTATAACTTTTTTCTAGGATGATGTTTTACAAGATTGCATTTAAAATATGATTAAAATGTGGGATTTTGTATTTATTAACACTTTCGGACGAGTATTTAATTTCTAAGTTATAAAGATAAAAAGACGGGATTTCTAAATTGTACATAATTATGTACTGTAAATAATATTATTTTTTTATTTGCCAGTCTGGTATCCAACTGGTATGTCATGTAATTTTTTAAATAAATAAATATTTTATACATCAATTATAATTTAAAATATAGTTATTTACAGTTTAAAAAATATAAAATACTTCTAATATTCTAGAGAATACAAGGTATTTTTTATTTTATTTTGCTATTATATCTATCGTGCTAAATAAAAACAATTAATTTTATAGACATATAAAAAATGCAATACTGAATGCTTTTAAAATATGAATTCATTTAAGATAAGCATTTTCCTTATCATCTAAATTGTACCCTTAGTACGCGTGTCCATTCTTTACTTATAGGTACATATAGCTTGCCAGTTTTTCATACATAAATCTTTGCACATGATAATATTAAAGTGGATTTAAGAATGGCAATCTGGAAACGTTCCGAAGTACCGGATAGAGTTTAACTATGGTAAGCGTACAGTAAACCTAAAGTTTAGATGTATCTGCAACGTTTGATGAATATAAACGAAGCAACTGTCAGTTTAACGTTTAGGAAAAAAACTCTTACTAATTCTTACATCTTTTCCTTATAAGTTATAGTGTTCAGTATCTGTACATAGTAAAGATATACATATTTGTATTTATAGTTCAAAAGACTGGATGTTACGACTTTCTTGATATTACAGAGCCATTGATTAAATATTTTATTCCGAGAACTCGTCTGGATAAACGTCGTCTAAAAATAGAATCACATTAAAACTTCGCTTATAAAATAAGTACTGTATTTAATACATATTAATCATTTTCACTTTATTGTATACTAGCTTTCCGCCCGCAGCTTCGCCGCGTGGAGTTCGGTTATATCGCGTTTCCAAGAGAACCTTTCAAAAGTCTGGGATAAAAACTATCCTATGTTCTTTCTCAAGGTCAACTCTATCTCTGTACCGAATTTCATTAAAATCAGTTCAGTGGTTTAGGCGTGAAAGCGTAGCAGACAGACAGACAGACAGACAGACAGAGTTACTTTCGCATTTATAATATTAGTAGCGATTAGCTTTTAACTCTCATAGCTTGTGGACAAAAGTCACTCTTTGGAATGTCTGAAATTAATTCAATTAAAACAATTAAAAATTTATCTATTAAGTACATTTTTAAGGTTCCATTAAGGCATGGTAGAATTGTATAGGTCAATAAATTTTTTCTCAAACAGACATGGAGGTTGGAGGTATGAACCCATAGTAAAAATCACGGATTCAGCTTTGTTTTATATTCTAATCTAATTTCTAAGATGCCACACGCTGGACTTCAATTCAATAATTTGACAAGGGTTTTACATAATAATTCATAATTTTTATCAATACTTATTGTTAATGGATTTACCCAAGCAAAGATAAGTTTCTTTCACAGCACAGATTATTAATAGGTATTTCAATATAATAATTTATTTCTTGTATCTTTAGTTATTATTGGAATTATTGTATAGTTAATTTTATATCATAATATGTACTTTTTATTAATATTTGTGTATAAGATTTTTAGTTAATATTGTTTCACCACCTACGACTGCTTTAATAAAATAAATGTCCTCCAACCATTAGGTTCCACTTGGCGATAAAACTCCCTTGTTTTATCAATTTTTTTACATTAATTGTTGTTTTTTATCTATATATAGTCTAAGGACTATCTAATAATTCAAATTATAAGATAAAAGAAGAAAGCACATTAAATACTTGGACACAACTTCACCTGTTTTCTGATTTACTATTTTAGAATTTTATTCATCATCTATCCAAATCCATTATAAATATTTATATATAAAACAAAAGTCAGACTCCCTTTCGTAATGTAAGCACATAAATAACGTAAAATTCACGCAGCACATTCAAGACCTTCATTTCTCAAAGTTCGAGATAAAGTGTTAAGGAGGTGAAAGTTTAAACAATATTCATAACAATAATGATAATCATAATGCCTACAAGTAATTTAAAAGTATAATACTTGATAACCAACCATGAACCAATAATACATGATTATTGAATAAAAATAAGACTAGGTACATGTACATACATTTGTTTTATCTCAATTAATGAAATTTGGTTTACAGTCTGTAAGCATGAGGAAGACGAACAAGCTAAGTTGTTAATCCAGAACCAAAATTTCTACATTTCACACGATATTATTTGACTGTGTTTATTTTCATCAGGAAGACGCTCGTAGTCGCTTACATTATTTTCCAACAAATTCGTATGCTGAACCATTTTTGACAACGAGAACATAAAGTACCCATTGAAAGTTAAATATAGGTACAGTTTGCTTACTATATGTTTACATCATCACACTACTTACGAAGTGTTTTCAGTTTGTCGATTCGAAGTCTTCGCACATTATAGTAATAATGCAGGTTCTTGAATGTAAAACGCTTAGTCTGTAGTGTGACAATACAAACTTATGGTAGCATTCTGGTATATCGAATGCCGCATAAAGGTTAAAATCGTTAGGTCTAGCAAGAATCTGCGACATTGATTAGTTTATAAATTTCCTTATTTTCTCTCATTTCATCTCTAATGTACACTAGCAGGATCGTCCCGGGCGTGACAGTCAAATAAATAACTTAACCAATTCTTATATGCGATTATAATCTAGACTAGCGAAATATATTACACTCATATTATATCCTTAAGTATAATTTTTTTAAACGTGCTATATGGTACGTACAACGAAGAGTATATTTTAATATACATATTAATTAGAGTACCTACTTAAATATAAAATACTCTTATAAACTAATACTTCCAAAAATATTATTCAAAACTAAAAATACGTTTTTTTTATATATATAACAAAGATACTTCATATTCGGCGGCCAAATAGAAAATGTCTAAAAAAGAATCTGAGAGATTTTATTAAAATCAGTTCAAATATACAAGTGTGATATACATACTTGCAGATTAATATTCAAGAACGTAACATTGAAGTGATTTTTTTGACAGGCAGTTAACGTGTTTTTTTATATGAAAACTAGATATGCCGCAATTATTTGTTATATCCCTATGATAGTTATGACAAATTTATAAGCATTATCACTGTCATAGGAACGTATTTTCTACAAATTAAAGTTCAGTCAGAATCCCAAAAAGTAACTAGTATTGATAGTAAAACAACGTAAATAAAAAGTAGACATGGCGAGACTGATGGAAAATGATAAATTATCTGAAGATATTACTAGAACTGTGAAAATTGTTAAACATTGGTAAATCTCACAAATAAATTTTCGTATGAGCCAATGCTAATTTAGAAATCCAAATGTAGTTAGATCGTACTAATATTATGTAGCTTGTACTTTTCTAAA